AAAAAAAAAAAAAAAAAAAAAAAAAAAAAAAAAAAAAAATCTGTGTTTTCTGCTGAGTCAGCTCCAATCCATCCCCTTTTCATGCTGCTTCTCCTCAGAGACCGGCATCGACCCTCCTCCAGGATCGCCACTCATACCCTTCCCTAGGTCTCCTGTCTGAACGTTTACAGTTTCCATCAGTGTTCAGTGACATCTACCACATCTACCAGCAAACAAATCAGGGTCTCCCACAAACACTTTTTCTTTATGCACTGGCCAGAGAGAAATAGATTCAGAGTATCTTACACTCGTTTGAAGAATGCTAGGTTTAAATAAGCACATTATCATCTCATTCCATCAGCTCTTCTCATCCTTTAAAATCCTTGGTTACCCTGTTATAATGTATTGTGATTAATTAATATTTACATAACTACAGGCATAATTTGGCTGCAAGTCAAGTTATTAAAATAACGAGATCAGTTTCCCTACTTTTGATCAACCCAGCTTACTAAGCATTTCAGTCTTTAATTTACCTTGTGCATTTACCTTAGAACTTAGTGCTTATTTAGGGTTTATGGATTAGCACTTGGCAGATAAAACTAAAGCCTCAGTCATTCTTACTTCAGGACCATGTGGCTACTGTTAGCTAACAGAGATGGTCTGCAAAACATTCTTGACAATGAATGCTTGGCTCTGACCTTGCCATATTAGCTCACAAAGGCCAGAAAGGGGATGAAAGAAAACTAGTGTATAGTAAGGGCATGTACATTCTTGTAGAAGCTCTACATAGATTTTAATCCACAGAACATCTCCATGAAACAGGTGTTATCATCCCCATTTTATAGATGGAGAGAGACCTGGAGAGTCAAATGTCCAGCGTCTAGTAACCAAGTGGCAGATACAGGGTAAAAACCCAGGCTGACCCAGCTCCCGGCTTGCTTTACTTTGTGGTTTAACCTGCAAATGTGGAATTAATTAGTTTGGAGATAGAATATCATAAGGTTTTGCCCTTTGCCCTTCTTCTCCTGTCATTTATGAAAAGAATAATTTAGTTCTGTCTTTCCAAGTATTAAGAGCTTCATATTAGTTAACTAGGTGGGGGGAATCTTTTCACAATGTATGTATTTATCAAATCATCACATTGTACACTTTAGCTTCCAATTTTATTTGCCGATTATACTTCAGTGAAGTTGGAAGAAGAAAAGAGCTTCATAGAATTGGAAGTGAATACCAAAGGTGATCTGAATCACCTCTAATCACTTACCAATGCCCTCAGTTCCTCCCCAGTCGCCTTTCAGGGGGTTAGCGCTTAGAGGAAATTCAAAACATGTTGGACAATTTCCAAGTTGAGCAAAACTGAAAAGGTAGGCCACAATGTCATGGAGAGAGGCTATCAGCTGTAGAGTTAGCTGTAAGGCTTGGAAAGCTGCCTGTGGGTAAAATCAACAGAAAGAAATAACATTTTAAGAAGTTTCTAAGAGAAGGGAGGGAGACAAACCATAAGAGACTCTTAATCTCACAAAATAAAGTGAGGGTTGCTGGGGGGGAGGGGGATGGGGAGAGGGTGGTGGGGTTATGGACATTGGGGAGGGTATGTGCTATGGTGAGTGCAGTGAAGTGTGTAAGCCTGACAATTCACAGACCTGTACCCCTGGGGCAAATAATACATTATATGTTAATAAAAATAATAAAAAACCCCCCAAAAACCCCCAAATTGGGGCACCTGAGTGGCTCAGCTGCCTAATGTGGCTCAGGTCATGATCCCAGTATCCTGGGATAGATCCCTACATCGGGCTCCCTGCTCAGTGGGAAGCCTGCTTCTCCCTCTCCCACTCCACCTGCTTGTGTTCCCTCTCGCACTCTCTCTGTCAAATAAATAAAATCTTTAAAAAAAGAGAGAGAATTAAAAAAATACATGAGCACATCAATTAGGGATAGTATCTTCAAACAATATTAAACATTTTCACAGTATAATACAGGTTAGTAATTACAGAATAATATCTGGAAAACAGAACACAAACCTACTCCTCAACCAGGTTACATGCCTTTGGACAAGGTACGTCCTAGAGTGAGGGGTTTAAAGGAATGTCTTTGCTTAAAGACACTGGTGACCAGAAACACAGCAAAATGTGTTTGCAGGACCACTGATAGATTACAAGTGTCACAGATAAACTCCTAGCAGGAACCGGTATTCAGATACCACTGCCGAGAGGGAACACCTGTAAGCAAAGTGTAGGTATTTATCAACGTAGTTTAAACACACAAATAAGGGCCATCTGTACCCCAATATTTATAGCAGCAATGGCCATGGTCACCAAACTGTGGAAAGAACCAAGATGCCCTTCAACGGACGAATGGATAAGGAAGATGTGGTCCATATACACTATGGAGTATTATGCCTCCATCAGAAAGGATGAATACCCAACTTTTGTAGCAACATGGACGGGACTGGAAGAGATTATTACGCTGAGTGAAATAAGTCAAGCAGAGAGTCAATTATCATATGGTTTCATTTATTTGTGTGGCATAACAACATGGAGGACATGGGGAGATGGAGAGGAGAAGGGAGTTGAGGGAAACTGGAAGGGGAGGTGAACCATGAGAGACTATGGACTCTGAAAAACAACCTGAGGGTCTTGAAGGGGTGGGGGATGGGAGGTTGGGGGAACAAGGTGGTGGGTATTAGGGAGGGCACGTATTACATGGAGCACTGGGTGTGGTGCAAAAACAATGAATACTGTTACGCTGAAAAGAAATTTTAAAAAAATTAAAAAAAAACCCCACAAATAAAAATGATCAAACCCTGGACCTTAACTATTAACATTCGAGTGAAGGAAAAGTGGAAAATGATGATCCAACTTAAAGAAGGTAGTATTTACATATATAATACATAATTATCTTTACACTTAATAGTTATAAAATATATACTATATATTTTGAAACATCTAAAATTCTTTAATGAAAGAAAAGGCAGTTCTATTTTTAATTGAGGAAATTCCATACTGTTTTCCATAATGGCTGCACCAACTTACATTCCCATCCACAGGACACAAGGGTTTCCTTTTCTCCACATCCTTGCCAAGACTTGCTGTCTCTTGTCATTTTGACAATAGCCATCCTAACAGGCGTAGGGTGCTCTCTCACTGTGGTTTTGATTTGCCTCTCTCTGAGGATCAGTGATATTGAGCATATTTTCATGTACCTGTTGGCCATCTGGTTGTCTTCTTTGGAAAAATGTCTAATCATGACCTTTGCCCATTTTAAAGTCAGATTTTATTGTTGTTGTTTTGTAGGAGTTCCTGAGTTCCTTACATATTTCAGGTATTACCCCCTTATCAGATACGTGGTTTGCAAATATTTCTCCCATTCTGTAAGTCGCCTTTTCATTTTGTTGTTTCCTTTGTTGAGCAGAACCTTTTTAGTTTGATAGAGTCACATTTATTTATTTTTGCTTTTGTTGCCTATTCTTTTCATATTATATCCAAAAAATCATCACCATGACCAATGTCAAGCTTTCCCCACTTTCCTCCAAGAGTTTTGCAGTTTTCAATGTTACATTTAGTCTCTAATCCACCTCAAATTAATTTTTGTGAGAGGTGAGAGGTAGGGGTCTAGTTTCATTCTTTTGTATGTAGAACTACCATATGATCCTCCCACTCCTGGGTACACATCCAAAGTCAGTATCTCAAAGAGATTATCTACACTTTCATGTCCATTGCAGCATTACTCATCATAGGCAAGCTATGGAAATGATCGAACTGTCCAGTGGATGGATAGATGGATAAAAAAATGTGAAACACACACACAAAAGGATATTATTCACACATTAAAAAAAGAAAAATCCTGCCATTTGCAAAAGCATGGATGAGCCTGGAGGATATCATGCTAAGTAAAATAACCAGATAGGAAAAGACACATTGGACAATCTCACTTATATGTTGAATCTAAAATAATAAACAAAATGTTGAAATCATAGAAGAGTAGCTACCAAGGGGTGGGAAATGGATAGGCGTTGGCCAAAGGGTACACATTTTCAGTATCAGATGAATAAATTCTGAGGATCTAATGTGTAGCATGGTGCCTATAGTTAGTAATAACGTATTGCATACTTGGAACTTGCTAGGAGAGTAGATAAGTGTTCTTACCACATGCAAAAGAAGGTAACTATGTGAAGAGATAGATACGTTAATTAACTGGGGTAATCATTTAACAAGGTACACATATGTTAAATCATGTTACACACTTCAAATATATGCAATTTACTGATTAGTTACATCTTAATAAAACTGGGGCAGGGGCGAAGAGGGTAAGAAACCTAGGTTTCTACTTAACAAAGAACAATCAGAATGTTCCCAATGGCCATTTTTCAGCGCTACACTTCACTTAGAAAATACTTACTTGAGTACTCTGTGTATTTCTAGATCTACTTTTTCTATGGTTATCAATATGACCCTCTAACAGGAAGTTAGGTGCACAGAGCAGCCCCTCAGAGAAACAGGCTGATGGCTACGCCTGCGATCTCCACCTGTCATTAGCTTCAGGGCATCCGGGTGGGATTTTCCGTGAAGGGTGTGGGAGGAAATTGAGGATTAATAAGGAATGCGGGAAGCTCGGATTAGTGTTCATTAGTGACTGGGGAGAAACAGAACTCAGGGAAATAATGAGGCCCTAGAGAAAGGATTATGAAGCAGGCAAAAATATTGGGAGCACTGTGAAGACTTCGGGTACCAGATATCCCTGGAAAAAAACAAGAGATGTTCTCTGTGATTGATACGCTTAACTGCGAGACATAACAAAGCCCCAGCCAGTTTTCATTCTGGCACACAGAAAGAAATACAAACCTCTTCTGGCAGAGTTTTGAACATAACCAGCACTTCAGAGGGATGGGGCAGGAACCATAAATTGAGGAAGACTTTCCCGTCAGCAGACAGCAAACCCCGCGGCCGGGCCCGAAAACTCCTGTGGCATTATAAGAAAGTTTGGGTCAGCATAGCATTTCTCTTTAAAAAAACAGACACCCGGGGCGCCTGGGTGGCTCAGTGAGTTAAAGCCTCTGCCTTCGGCTCAAGTCATGATCCCAGGGCCTTGGGATCGAGCCCCACATTGGGCTCTCTGCTCAGCGGGGAGCCTGCTTCCTCCTCTCTCTGCCTGCTTCTCTGCCTACTTGTGATCTCTGTCAAATAAATAAATAAATAAATAATCTTTAAAAAAAAAAACAAAACAGACACCCCAATGGGAACTATTTCTAACACGGCCCTGCAGCCACAGCTCCGGGCTGGGGTGATACCCGAGCCGAGCTGGAGCCCGGTGTCCAGGCCCGGGCCTGCACGTCTCCCTTGCAGGCGGCTCACAGGTGGCCTCGGTTATAAATAACTGAGGAGAGGAGCGGGGAGGCTGCTTTTAGCCCCGGCTGTGTTGGAGGAAGGAGTGGGTTTGGAGGGCAGGAAAGGTGTGGTGAGAAAGCAGAGAGAGGACCTGAGTGAGGTGGCTGGCACCGTTCTGGGTGTTACGTATTTTCTCATTGAATTCTTATGTCCTTAGAATTCACCTGTGTTGACAGAGGAGGAGACTGAGGTCCTAGGAGAACTTTGCCTGCCCAGCTCCTAAGAGAAGTTGAGACTTACTTTATTTTTTAATTTTTTTTTTTTAGAGAGAGCACAAACAGGGAGGAGAGGGAGAAGCAGGTTCCCCATGAGCATGGACCGTGAGGCGGGACTCGATCCCAGGACCCTAGGATCCTGACCTGAGCAGAAGGCAGCCGCTTGAAGCCGTCGAAGCCTGACGTGCACCTCCCTGGGGGCCCTGGGAAGAAACCACCGTCCTGAATTTTACATTCATGTTAGTTTTTCTTTGTGGTTTTACCATAATTGGATAAAATATTAAAAGATTATTTTGTTGGGTTTTGCCTGTGTTTGACCTTCACACCAATGGAAGGCTCGTGATCTTTCCGGTATACCCACTGGGGGAAGGTGGCATCTTGACCTGGTTTCTATGTCCTCTCAGGAATGAGGTGGCCCACTGTGACAGAGGGTGGGGTAAGGGGGGCTGTTTTCCATTTGAATGGATTTGGTGCCTTTAAGTCTAATTGTGTTCATCTGGTGTGAAAATGGTGCTTGTGCAGTTAACAGGTGTGGATTCTGGCATCGGAGGACCCCGTTCTGAGACCAGCTTCCATCGCCCACAGCTGTGTGGCCTTAGATGCACTACCATCTGAGTCCTTGCATACATAAAGTGGAGATAATGATTCCCAACTCACAGAATTGATGTAAGGAATAATTTTTAAAAAGAGTACCAAGCTTGTGAAAAATCTTTTCTAAGTTGTGAGGCGCTATACAAAGTTTGTTGTTAGAATGCTAAGGTGAGGGTATCTAGCAAAGGGGCCAAAGGTGGGTAGGGGGCAAGGAACCCCTGTGGCCCAGTAAAGAGACCTTGTAGGAACCCTTGGGGCTATTTGTTAACAAGTGGGAACCTGAACACACTAATGAGAGGATGTCCTAGAATTGAGGGTTATAGGGCAAGGCTAGAGAAGGGTGCCACCTTAGACCCATCTCGGCTATGCTAGACAAAGCAGGCCTCACAGACACACAGACAGTGGAAGGAGGTGTGCGGTGGGTATGGAGTCCCCTAACCCCGCCACAAAACAGCCCCTCCCCCTTAAGCCCTCTGCTCTGCTCTTCCCACTCTGTCCCTTGTCCTGGACGGTTGTGTCCACTCTTCTGGCTGCAAAGGCCATCCATTCACGGTGATACCCGAATCCACCTGTGCGTGCCCGGTCCCCTCCCCAGCTCCCCACTTCCAACTTGCTTCCTGTTGGTTGGTAGGGTTTCAGATCATCTCAGTCAAAGAAGGCAAGAACTGAACTCCTTACCCTCTACCACCCCAAACCTGTGCCTCGTCCTCTGTTAAAACAGCCACAACCCTCAGTTGCCCAAGCCAGAAATCAGGAAGTCATTTTTAGAGCCTCCCTTCTCTTTTACTCTTCAAGTCCTACTCATCCCACTATTGTTCATACTTGTACACAGTTTTCTTGCCCAGTTCCTTGGTCCCTGGCAAGGACTCCTGGTGGGAGGTCCTCACCTTCTGGGGGGCACTTTGGAAATCACAGGGGTGTTTTTGACTCTTGTTATTGTTTCTGGGTCTCTGGGAGAGATTCAGATGACCCTTTCCACTTACTAAAGTGAAATGTAACTCATTTTAACTGAGGGCTGAATGTTTTCAATATCAAACATTCGGAGTCTGAGACTTTTTGAATCATTAAAACTCTACGTGAAGTGAATCATTGGCTTTAAAGCCACCTTTCAAGTCTCAGGGTTTTAATCAGGTAATTTGAGGTTTGGGAACAAAGGATGGTGTTAGTTTGGAGAAATTTCCTTTATTTCAGTAACCACAAAGTCAGACTTTCCTGTCCTGGAGCAGATCAAAGCCAGGGTAACCCAGTCTTATCTCTATTGTTCAGTTCACAATGTCCAAAGGTGCCCCAAAGAAACATCAAATATCAACAATAAAAAGTCACCAGGGCCTGCGGCCAAGCACACGAGGTTGCAGGCCGAGGGGCTGGCAGCAACAGTGTGACTGAACCAGTCCTTGGCCTCGGAGAAGCACATACATCCCCGGAGCCTCAGGGCCCTCTACCAAGTGTTACCCTTTATTTCTCAACCATTCTTTCCTTCCATTTGCACCCCTGCCTGCAGTGAGCAGCCATCTGCTGGGGAAGGACAGAGAGAGTAGCAGAAAGCTCTGGGTCTGAAGCGCAGTGGCATAGCCTGTTCTCAGCCCCACAAGGAGGGTTCCTCCCCACTCCTCGTGGATGGCCCACCAACTCCCTAGCCTGTCAGTTTCTTACCTGCTTGACATCATCCCCTTTCCCCTTCCTTCCCCTCCAGCCATCCACTCTGGGGCCACATCCCAGACCTTATCATTACCTGGGACCACCTCCCCTCCAAAGACTTAAGCCCAAACCCCCCTTTCCCATCTTTTCCTACACCAACCTTTTATTCCAGTTTCCTCACTCATCTACTCCCAGTAAACCTCCATTATCCCCACAAAATATGCTCCTTGACATCGTCCAGCCCTCTGGTCTCCCCCTTTCATCTGTCAATTCCATTCTGACTTCCCTCCTTTCCCTGCCCACACTGGGTCTCGCAGTCAAGCATAGGAAGAGAAAAGTCAAGCTTTTCTCTCTCTCTCACCAGAACCTTCCAGTCTCTGCTTCCTTGTATTCACTACTCAACTACAAAGCAAAACCCCAACTCTGGATCCTTCTGACTATTATGTTTTTGGCTTCTAGCTGCATGTTGCTGAGCACAGCTGGAGGAAATCACACCACTAATTGTACTGATGCAACAACGAGTAAATGGTTTCCAGCCTGAGCTGTGTCACCCTGGGACAACCCTTATTCTTTCCTTTGATCAGCTTTCATGCCCATTTCCTTTTCTAATAATTCCAAGACTTCTTTCAGCCTCATACCAAATTCTTGCCAGCAAATGATGACACAATCTTATTTCATAATTGAATTAAAGGCCATTGGCTGGAACTTCCCCTACCTCCTGTGGGCCGTTTCCCCTACCTCCATCTCCCCTTCAATCAAGGTCAAAGGCAGAGGTACACATCTGGGATATGAAATGAAGATGGCCACTGCCCGCAAGGTTCTTACATTTCTGAAGCAACTAGATTTATGCATGATTTATGATAGAAGCATGGTGGAATGGTAGCACAGTTGGCCGTTGAACAAATCAGGGGTTCAGGGGTGCTGACCCACCTTGAAGTAAAAAATCTGTGCATAACTCTTGACTGCTCTGAAATGTAACTACTAATAGCCTACTGTTGACCAGATACATGGATAGTTGATAAACACATTTTTTGTATGCTATATATATTATATACTGTATTCTTATAATAAAGGAAGCTAGAGAAAAGAAAATGTTATTAAGAAAATCATAAGGAAAACACATTTACAGTACTCTACTATATTTATAAAAGACAAATCCATTTATAAGGGGACCTGTGCATTCAAAACCATGCTGTTCAAGGGTCAACCATATATGAAAGTGCTGGAAACATCCAGATTAGGGAGCATCAAGACCTGTTGGGAGGTCTCAAAAAGGAAGAAATAAGGAAGAAATTCACCACTGAGGCTTTCGAGCTGTGATTCAGTATCTCCCTCTCTACCTTTTTCCTCTTTAGGACACTACCATTTGTTCCCCCATTTAAAGGAATTGTGATAAAATATACATAACATAAAATGTATCATTGGAACTGTCTTTAAGTGTAGAGTTCAATGGCATTAAGTATTTCCACATTGTTGTGCAACTGTCTCCAGAACTTTTACCCATCTTCCAGAATGGAAACTCTGTACCAATTAAATAATAATTGCACTGCCATCTTTTTATTTATCCAAGCCAGAGGCTCTGGGTGACACCCAGCTTCCTCCTTTGCCTTTAGCTTCCCATCAAATCCAGCACCTGGCCAACTGGTTTTACCTCCTACACATCTCTTGTCTGTACAGCTTCAGTAGCTTCCTAAATGAGATTCCCAATCATCATCTTACTCTCCCTTTGCCTGCTGTGGAAGGACACATGCCAGACTTTTGGATTTTGCTCATGATTCTGTACATTCTCCTCCTCACTGCTCATCCTCACACACCCTGGGTGGGAGCCACTCAAGAGCGCATGTGCTGTCTCACATCTCTGTGTCACTGTACATGCGGGTCTCCCAGCTTGAACTGAAGTTCTTTTCCTGGTGTACTCGAAACACTAACCATCCTCTAAGTCCCAGGTTAAGCATCCCCTTTACCCTGCAGCCTGCCTGGCTCCCCATCCCCACCACCCCAATCCCTAAGATAATAATGAACATTTCCTGGAGGGTGTTGCTTTTATTATTCTCTTATTGTATTTTAGTCTTTATAGCAATGTATTGTAGTTACCTATTTTCCCAGGGCACCCAGGTGGCTCAGCTGGTTAAGCTCTGCCTTTGGCTCAGGTCATGATCTCAGGGTCCTGAGATTGAGCCCCACATCAGGATCCCTGGTCAGCAGAGACTCTGCTTCTCCCTCTGCCCCTCCCCTCATGCATGCTCTTTCTCTCTCTCTCTCGCTCTCTCTCTCTCTCAAATAAATAAATAAAATCTTTTTTAAAAAATTACCTATTTCCCCTTGCCTAAAGGGCAAGGACAATGTCTATCCATTACAGTACAGCACTTGGCACCAAGGTTGTCATGTACTGTTGTTCGGGTTGTGCCCTGAGGCAGCCAGCAGTGGCTGAGATGCAGCCTATGTTTTACTTGCCAAGCTCTGCATCCTGGCAGGGGGCTACACCCGCCCAGAGGAAGGGGCGCCTTCTTTCAATGCACATAAACACCATATGGGATTGTGGTTCTACCTGTCAAACAGTAAGGGTTTGACTAATGTTCTCACATTAACCCTTCTCTCCCTTCTTCACTCCAGCAGCCAACACCCCTGCTTTTGAAATATGCCCAAGCATCATCCCAGTCTCCAGACTCTAGTCTCCTCTGGAGCCATGAAAAGCAAGGAGGCCTCAAGGGGCATCCTTCTTGGGAGAAGAACTCCCCTTGTCTCCTCTTCTTTTTTTTTTAATTTTTTATTTTATTTATTTATTTGACAGAGAGAGAGAGAGAGAGAGAGAGAGAGAGATCACAAATAGGCAGAGAGGCAGGCAGAGAGAGGAGGAAGCAGGCTCACTGCTGAGCAGAGAGCCCGATGCGGGGCTCATTCCCAGGACCCTGAGATCATGACCTGAGCTGAAGGCAGAGGCTTAACCCACTGAGCCACCCAGGTGCCCCCCCTTGTCTCCTCTTCTATAGAGACTTGGGTTTGGGGATAAGGTCGTCTCTGTTAAAAGTAAATACAGTACATTACAGCCTTTAAAGGATTAAATAGCACCTTGGAATTTTAAACCCACAGAACTGACAGGGCTCTGTTGGTCAAGGGATGGCAAACACAACCAGGAAGGCCACCTTGCCCCTGTCCTTGGCCATGACAGACATTGCCAATCCATTACAACACGCTCATAAGCTTGGGATGTCTCAGAATCCTCCATAGGGCATTAATTGTTAGAATTGACATTTAAAGGAAAACTTATTTTTTATCTTCGACCTAACCCAACTCCATATTTTAAGAATGAGATGAGTGAGGAGGACCTGTCCCTCCATGACCCTCATCATTCCTCAACTCTGTCCCTTCATCTCTAGTTAAACTCGTCCTGGGGTGATTCCCATCTATCATTTCATGAACACTTCTAGATGGCCCCTTTCCAAGAAGTCTTTCCTCAGCAGTTCCACTCCTTGGACTCAAACTCTAGACAACCTAGCACTGAAAATCTTAGCGTGTTGAACTTCAGAGAGCTGCTTCAATGTCCTCACTCATCAGATGAAGAATTGAGGTTCAAAGACTGAACAGAAGTGATCTGCCCGAGACCTCAGGGCAACTTACAATTGAGCTGGGCAAAGTCCAAATATTCTAACTCCAAGGCCATGAGTCTCTCCCCTCTACCTCCTTGTGGCCGATGTCCATTTTTGTTAATACTCAGTACATGGAATCACAGACTTTCAAGTTAAAAATAATCTTATACTTTTTAAGCTTCCACATAAGACAGAAGTTCCTTTCTCCATTGCTCTGTTCTCTGTGGTGTATTAAAAGGGAAAGGTTGAAATCTGGAGAGTTTAGGAAGTAGGAGATGGGTATAGCCAAAAAATACTGAATCTTTATCAGTCACTGCTTATCTACTGTCTAACTCTATGACTTGGGCTCTGGGTGAGCCCTTCCTTTGCCCACACTTCTACTGACCAGAGTCGTGCCACGAAATTATCACACACTGACCAGATGATTTAGGGCTCTAGGCTCATCCCCCTTAAATGATGGTTTCCCTTGATCTTTAGGAAACACAGTCATCTACAATAAACAATACAGGAATAGAGCAAGACCTGCAAGTCAGAGACATTTTTTTTTCTTTTACTTTCTACTTCCTGATCTCCTTATTTGGGTGCTTCAAATAAAACAGATCAGAAGCAAAAACAGACTTCCTGAATACATTTGATCCTAAGCATAAATGTAGTGAATGTGTGGTTAGACTTCTGGAAACTATTTTAAAAATTTGATCCCAAGTATAGATAGGGCTTATAAATGGTTGACTTGGCTAGTGGGTAGATGAGATAATGAAACTAAGAAGTCAGAGGATTATCCTGTGATGTTTCATAGGAGAGAAAGATAAACTTCAGCATCATTGGGCAACAGGTGTACAGTCAAACCCTTGAGCAAAATAGTCAGTCTACTGAGGTGTATTTGCCCTACCCTTCCTTCAAATGCATTCTTCCATTGGGTAAATGTGGAAGTTGACCCAAGTGGATGCACTGGCTGAGCTCATGAGACAGACACTGGTCTCCACAAACTGGAGTTCATGTCAAGGTAGGACTGGTCACTATTTTGGTAGCCAGCTATCAGTTAGTCAAGGGCCTGCAAACTCAAGATTTTTTCATTCTCCAGATTTCTCTAGCCTGTTCTATCATCCCCATTTTTTTTTTAAAGATTTTATTTATTTATTTGACAGACAGAGATCACAAGTAGGCAGAGAGGCAGGCAGAGAGAGAGGAAGGGAAGCAGGCTCCCTGCTGAGCAGAGAGCCCGATGCGGGACTCGATCCCAAGACCCTGAGATCATGACCTGAGCTGAAGGCAGCGGCTTAACCCACTGAGCCACCCAGGCGCCCTTTTTTTTTTTTTTTTTTTTTTTTTGGTGAGCTCTGACTTACCTGTCACCTCCTCTTTTAATTTCTCCCTGAGGCCTGGGCTACAGTTAAACACTCCCTCTTTTGTGTCCTCAAGGAACATTTCACATAACTCTAGCAGATTACCTTTAAAATCTTTGAAGTTACTTTTTTGTTGACAGCGCTTTCCCCCACTGGGCTGAATTTACTGCCAGAGTCATTGGCTTATTTACCTTTATAACTCCAGCACATAGCAAAGTGGCTAGTATTAAGTAAGCACTAAATAAATGCTGGCTGAATAACACATGAATGAGTGAGGGAGTGAATGAGTGGTCTGATACAAATGGTCTCTCAATTTGCTTTCATCTTTCTGTTCTATGGTATTTATTGAGTATTACGATTATATAACACTAAGCTCTGTGCCTTAAGTAGAGTAGGGAGGAAAGTAAGCTCACCATTTTTCTCCCCCTTGGAGATGGAAGAACTATGTAACACCCCTTCTTTCTCCCTTTCTCTTTTCTTTTCTATTTCTTTCTTAAGAAAATGTGGTTGCTGACTGCATAGGTATGCTAACTCTTCCATCTAGGTAAGTGAACCCCAGGCAGGTTGAGTTAAGAACATTTGGAAAACTGGATAAGGCATGATAAGGAAGTATGGAAGCAGCTCTCCTCTTATCACGTAATATCACTCTACATGTATTTTTTTTTCTTCTGCCAGAGAAATACACAAAGGCAGATTTATCCAAGGCACTGGTGGATCAATGTTGTGTGTGTATGTGTGTGTGTGTGTGTGTGTGTGTGTGTGTGTGTGTGTGTTTCTTTTTTCTTCTGGTCCCTTAAGTAAAATATTTGAAGTCAGGACAGCTCAAGATCAAGATTACTCATTTGTTTGCTTATTTTAGATGCTGGCTTATGTAAAAGGGTGTGACTGATAGAAATCTCTGGGCTCTCCAGGGGAAAACAAAAAACTGCATGGATTGAAAAAGCAGTGAAACAGCCCATAAACAAAGAACCTCTTCTGGGTTCAAATACAAAGATACTGTTTTTCTTTAGAGTGTTAGCTCTTTCTTTTGCCCTTCTGAACCAGGAGATCAAGGTCAAATGCAGTAAAGAAAGCAAGATTCCCATACCAAATTTAACATGCCTCTTCCCTCCTCCCTGGGAGGGGTAGGGTATGGAGGTGGAGTAAAAAGATCTAAAGAAAATTACACACCTGGGGTCAGTCTTGAGGCCCTCCTTGGAGTCTCTCAACCCTTTCTTTTCTTGTGGTTGCCCCACCATGAAAAATGTATCTCTGATGGTAGGGAAATCTTCCAGCAGGGCTCTCAGACTATTGCAGTATGCCATAATCTGACCCCGAAGAGCATAGTGAGACATACGGCAGTTGAACCTGAAAGTCAGAAGAGATGATGTCCATAAAGTCAATCGAAGTTATTCCATCTTTCTCAGAAGAATCTACTTCCCTAAAAGATCTTTCAAAGATAACAGAGGACCTCATCAAGAAGAAAGTTCTATCTGGTTCATGTTGCTATTGCCTCAAAGCAGAGGCATGAGCCTCTTCAAAGCATCTCCCATCCTTCATTTCTGATATATGTCAGAGGATAGATTGGTTTGGTTTTATCCAATAGGATTGTGTTTATTAAAAAACAAACCACCTACTGATCCGAAGGGGCACATGCACCCCAATGTTTATAGCAGCAATGTCCACAATTGCCAAACTGTGGAAAGAGCCTGGTGTCCATCAGCAGATGAATGGATAAAGAAGATGTGGTGTATATATACACAATGGAATACTATGCAGCCATCAAAAATGAAATCTTGCCATTTGCAATGATATGGATGGAACTAGAGGGCATTATGCTAAGTTAAATAAGTCAATCAGAGAAAGATAATTATCATGTGATCTTACTGATATGTGGAATTTAAGAAACAAAACAGAGGACCATAGGGGAAGGGAGGGAAAAATAAAACAAGATGGAATCAGAGAGGGAGACAAACCATAAGAGACTTTCCTTTTTAAAAAGATTTTATTTATTTATTTTAGAGAGAGAGTGAGAGAGAGAGATGAGAGAGCACACAGAGGGAGAAGCAGGCTTTCCACTGAGCAGGGAGCCCTATGCAGGGCCCAATCCCAGGACCCTGGGATCATGACCTGAGCCAAAGGCCAACGCTTAACTGACTGAGCCACTCAGGCACCCTCTCTTCCCCCCATAAGAGACTCTTAATCATAGGAAACAAACTGAGGGTTTGCTGGAGGGGTGGGGATGGGGGATGGGGTAACTGGGTGATGGACATTAAGGGGCGCATCTGATGAAATGAGCACTGGGTATTATATAAGATTGATGAATCACTGAACTCTACCTCTGAAACTAGTAATACATGTTAATTAACTTAATTTAAATTAAAATACATAAATAAATAAATGTTCAGTAGGAAAAAAAATCAATTAAAAATTTAAGAAAACCACCTGACTCATTGTCTGGATTTCTATAGAACATAGCAGTTCATTGAATTCAGTGTCAGAGAAATCAGCATATGTTGTTCACATACACCATACTTACTTCTGACAATATTCAACTATAACATCTCTCTTGACTTTACCAACTTCATCCTGTAATAAGAGAGAATGACAGTTCTTCTATTAGATGGTTGGCTATAAAAACTCTCCAGCCTAGTACAAGTATACAAACATATAGCAAACTTTAAGTAGGAAAGGGCCACACAGTTGAGATATTCTTTCTGAAGGCCAACTTGTTGAGAAATACTCCTCCATATTCTCTCCCACGCCTGCATCCTTGTTGAGTAGCCAAGAATGCATGGCCCTGACCACTCTTTACCTGGGCCATTTCTCATGGTTCTGTTTACAAAGAGCAAAATTGAAGGATGGGTAATGTCTCCCTCCAGGAAAAATGGCAAGCTTGCCATAAAAACTGGAAGCTTCCTCAAGCTCAGTGTCATTCGACTGGGACAAAAACCCACTGCACACATCTGGTCTTCTCCATGTTGCCCCCTTGAGACTTGGGAGGCAAAGAGAACTGATACAAACATAAAGGTCATGTCACCTGTTCTGCTGTGAGTCATAAAGTTCTTTGTCTCTGATCTAGGAGTCTTGTGTCTTTTAATCTGATGGCATTGGATAATCCTGAAGATCAGTTAATGAACTATAAAATTTTTCACTTGGTTAGTACTTTTTGAATATAGTAGTAAAAAAAAGGTAATTGAATATCTCAATTACTTATTATAAGGAGTCGTTTACCTCCATTATTGCTCAGCGGTTGTCTAGAAGTCTGGCCCCCTCACATTCTATTTGTAGAACGGGATTTGGGAAATTTAAGTCTTTCCTTTTCAGTCAGAGAGGGAAAAAAACTTAGAGATTGTAAACCTGTGATTTCTCTCCCAAATAACAATGTGTTAGTCTAATGACTTTCTCCTCAAAAAATTAATGAATCCATATTCACAAAATATAGCAATACTTTGAACTGATTAAAGATTTGAATTTCATATTTCCCAACAGATTAGGCTAGCATAAAACCCTTAAATAGAAACATGTCACTAATATCTGGAAAATCAACTAACACAAGAATTAGATAGTGAGAGCCCTTGCTCACATTATCCAAACCCCCCGAACATCTGTGGGTCACTCGAGAGTGGGCTAATGTTCCAGAGCAGGTGCTGAAACTAGTTCCATTTCGAAAGTGACAAAATAAAATGTGGTCTTGGAAAAAATTGTGCATATTTTTAAAACTCAACTACAATGAGCTCGAATTACTTCCTTTCTATTTCTTATTGAATTCCCTTTTACAGTTATTTAAATTTTCAACAGTCTATCCAAATAGGCTGAAAGCAAGAGATTACAAGTTAAGAATTTTTATTGGCTCAAATGTAAAACATAACGAGAGCTTCAGGGAGCCCTCCTCACTGAACTCACAAGGCTCTTCATTCTGTCGGCCATGGTTTGTTTCCTGAGGAGGAAGGCGTTCAGCATCATGTCCCGCAGCCCCACCTTTTCTAGTTGAATGGACACAAAAGCCTCCGGAGCCCTGACAAGTGAACAGAGACATCTCAGCCCAAGGCAGGAAATAAGTGGACATAGAATAAGAAGACTACACAAAAGCTCCCTGGAGGACAGGAAGCCTGGGGCTGAGTACTGGGCATTGCAAAAGGAGAACAGATGTCTGTCTCCATGGTTCTCATCTTCTTCATATTTGATTCTATTCACTGGGGATGGTGATGTGTCACCACCCTTCTTGGGGCCCCCATGTGCCTGGAGCATGTATCAGCAGTCCCTCTTCTGCCCCAACTTCATAGCTTGGCTCAGTGTTTGTACTACCCAGGTCCCTTTGTGCCCTCCTGGCTTCTACTGCAGGGGTTTCTAGATTGTAGCGGCCTCTCAAGGGTCCTCTTGGCTAGACGTATTGGTCTTACATCTTCCATCCCCATGTCGGGAATGGGAACTTAGGGTATTCGAACTCTGATCATATGTCAGATTAATGATATCTTGGGTAGTAGACTAGTTTTGCTTGTTGGTTTTTTTTCCCCATTTTAAATTAGCCAGAATTAAATTAAACTGTTATAGGAAATACTCAGGATATTTATTATACAATACAAATATCTCTCTTTCTCTGTCATGGTAGAAAGAGATCAGGACATCATAGGACATTCTTGATTTATAGCCATCTGTCGGCAGAGGTGTAGCTCTCTGATAATGCATCACCTTATTATACTAAGCATTGGTAAAACCCTTGTTCGAAGAGTGAGGGTAATTCTGTGCTTTTCAGTTTAAGATAAACATGGAAGATTTGGAGAGGCCCATATTCTTCTTTCTTATGTTCTGTCTGTTGGGTTTGAAAAATATAGAGAGAGGGTAGACAAAGGGGAGACAAAGAGAAGGGAGAAGGGAGGAGAAAAGGGGCTGAAATAAGGAACCAGTGACTCTCCATAGACCGTATATTGGAAGAAGTTGAGCCTTCTCAGTGTTCATACAAGGTCTTCATACAAGATCTTAAAAATTAAACAAATGCTGGTCATTTTGGGAATTTAGGCATCCTTTAATTCCCTAACACTACATTATCAATCGACTTAAAAGAAGATACTTTTGTTATTTTTAAACAAACCTCTAAGGTAGTACCTTTTGGTAGCCTGGAATCTTTCTGAAGGGTGAGTAAGGGTGTCTGGAACTTTTGGATTTGGGGCTACTGGTGCGTTCTCTATGTCATTCACAATTCTGGAATTTCTTCTTCTGGCTGGACCCATTCCACCATGATTTCTCAGATCTGAACTTATTTCCTAAAATGTTTTAAACCAAAGTGAATTAAGTTTGTTGGATTTGTAAGTCCTGTAGTACTGACCCCAAAATGCCCCAGACATGGGGTAAGGATGGGTTGGAGTGGAAGAGAGAGAGGAGAAGCAAAACAGTGGGGAGGAGAGGAGAGAGTACAAGAGGGAAGGGAAGAGAGTATTCGCACAATGTAGGGGTGAGGCAGGAGCGTAACTATTTCTAGAATAAAGTGCAGTAGTCTAAATTGCCCTGAAAAAAATTCTCCATTCTACAAGTTAGCTAGTTGGAGTGCTCTGTATAGAGTGGCCTCAAGAAATACTGTTGATGGACTTCAAGGCTGCAAGATCTGAAAAACTGAGGCAGGGTGCTCACTGTGGTTCAGCCTAAGCAAATGGAGGCAGGCTCCGTATGCTGTCAAGAACAATGTAATGACAAAGGGAGGGGAAAAGAGGGTGTAGAAGAAAAACTTTCTATGGTGTTTTGCTGTGGCAGCCTTGGTGGACTGATACAGGAGCAATAAATGCACACTGTTTCTATCCTTCCATCACCATCTCACTCCTTAACTCAGACAGCCTTGCTTTCATGCTAGTCTTGCTTTCAACCCCATTAGGACTGCTCTGCCAGTCAACAATGAGTTTTTGAGAATGTCAAATGGCCTCATTCTAATCCCTGCTCTTCTGGTTCTTCCCTCTACATTTAACTCTATCAACTTTCAACTTTTTTCTTTTTTCCTCTTCTTCTAAAAACAATAGCTTTACTGAGATATAACTGACATTTAATAACCAGCACATATTTAAGTTTTGGCATATGTATACAACTATGAAATCTGCAATCAGAATAATGACCATCCCATCCACCCAGCCCCTCTTCTCAAGTAACCACTCTTCTCTGCTTTCTCCAACTATAGATAAGAATGCATTTCCTAGAATTTTATATAAATGGAGTCATGCAGTAGGTACTCTTTTTTTGTATGGTTTCATCCATATTGCTGTATCTCACTAACTCATTTATTTGTATTGCTGAGTAGTATTCCATTATATGGATACACCACAAGTTGTTTATCTGTTCACTTGATGAAGGACATTTGGGTTCTTTCCAGGTTTTGGCTATTTTAAATAAAGGGGCTATAAACATCCACATATGTTTTTGTATGAACATGTGTTTTCATTTCTCTTGGGTAAATACCCAGGAGTGGAATGGCTAGATTATATGGTAAGTGTATATTTGAGTTTTTAAGAAACTGTCAAAATGCCTTGCAAGGTGATTGGCCACTTTGCATTCCCTTCAGTAGTGAATGAGAGTTCCATATCTTCCACATCCCTGCCAACACTCAAAATGGTCAGTCTTTTTAATTTTAACCATTCTAATGGGTGTGCAGTAGTTTCTCACTAGGGTTTTAATTTGCATTTTCCTAACAACTCTAATTTCTCTAATAACTAAAAAGGTGATAAACACCTTTTTATGTGCTTATTTACCATCTGTACATCTTCTTTGGTAACTCATTTCTTCCTGAAACTCTCTTCTCCTTTGGCTTTGGTAGCAGTATACAATTTTGTTCTCTCCCTGTCTCTCATCTCTTTCCTTTCCTCCTCCCTTCCCTCATTTCCTCTTATTTCCTTTCATTGTCTCCATCATTTATTCCTCCTTATTATATCATCAGTCCTCTTCTTGTCCCACCCTTGTAGGAGAGCAACACACACACACACACACACAGTCACACAGTATTTCTATATATTCACATACATTACTGTATGTTCATATATTACTATACATATTCACATATTCATTCATATATATAGCCCTAATGTCTTCCTATTCCTGCTCTTGCTCCAATGCAGTGACTTTAAACATTTGTTGTTGTTTTTTTTTTAAGATTTTATTTATTTATTTGACAGAGACAGAGATCACAAGGAGTCAGAGAAGCAGGCAGAGAGAGAGAGGGGGAAGCAGGCTCCCTGCAGAGCAGAGAGCCTGATGTGGGGCTCGATCCCAGGACCCTGAGATCATGACCTGAGCTGAAGGCAGAGGCTTTAACCCACTGAGCCACCCAGGTGCCCCTAAACATTTGTTTTTTGAATGGATCTTAGGAACTCATAATACTTTCACTCTCCATTTCAATAAGAAAAACCTCACTTATATCTGTTTTATATATTAGTATTCTTTATAAGATTAAAGGAATTGAATATAGAATTCCTTATGTCAACAATGTATGAAAATCACCAGTGGTGGTCAAGCTGGGCTCTTCATTTTTGGTAGTACCCATCTGCCCTTTCTTGTTCCCAAGCGTGAGTTATCTGAGGGCTCTTCTCTCTGCCTGTCAAAAAGCTCATCCTTCAGGTTTTCCTAAATGCCCACTCTCTGTGCTGCCCTTCCTGGTTCCCCAGATATGACCTTTCTTTTTCTTTAAATTCCTTCTATAGCTTGTTGAACCTCTTTTATGACTTGTGCTTAAACCACTTGTGAGCCTGTCCCCCTTCTATACACTTCTCTAAATTCCTCAGGAGCATGAACTGTGCCTCAGTATAATCTGATGAGCATAACTTATAGGAGGGACTGAATTAAGGTTTTGGGGATTGAGATTTTTAAAAAAATCAATATAACTCACTCTATCCTTATTTTCTACTTCAGCATTTAATTTCTATGGGAGTTACTATTTGGCAGTAGAAGTGAGGAATGAGTATTCTTGAGAATTCTATTCAAATTCTCCTATTAACATGAAGAACAGAAATAGATAAATAGAGGTTGGCAAATCTGATAAGGGTTAAATATGGTGAGCTGTATAGAATCTATAAGACTTAATGTTAAAAGACCACCTGGAAAGTTGATTTCCTAAAACCATGATTAATTTTACTGGTGAACATACATGCACATGAGAACTAGACTGTTGTTTAAAAAAGTAGGGAAAAATCCTTATGAACTGATGTGGAGTGATTTCTAGGATATACTGCTTAGTGAAAAAACAAAGTCCCAAAGAGTATATGTAAATAAAATCCAAAACTCTTTCATGATAAAATCATTCAACAAACTAGGAATAGAGAGAAATGTCCTCAACCTATAAAAGGCATCTAAGAAAAACCCATAATTAACATCATAATTAGTGGTAAAAAATTGAAAGCTTTCTCCCCAAGATCAGGAATAAGATAGTAATACCCACTCTTGCCATTTCTATTTAGCTTTGTACTGGATGGTCTAGTTAGGGTAATTAGACAAGGAAATGAAAGAAAAGGCATCTAGATTAAAAAGGAAGAAGTGAAGATATTTCTATTTGCAGATAACATGATCTTGTGTATAAAAAGTCCTAAGGAGGAATGCCTGGGTGGCTCAGTCAGTTAAGCATCTGCCTTCAGCTCAGTTCATGATCTCAGGGTCCTGGGATTGAGCCCTGTGTCAGGCTCCCTGCTTAGTGGGAAGTCTGCTTCTACCTCTCCCTCTGCCCCTTCCCCTACTGCTTGTGCTCTCTCTCTCTCTCTCTCTCTCTCAAATAAATATTTTATTTTATTTTTTTAAAGATTTTTATTTATTTATTTTGAGAGAGAGAGACAGAGTGAGAGAGAGCATGAGAGGGGAGGTCAGAGGGAGAAGCAGACTCCCCATGGAGCTGGGAGACTGATGTGGGACTCGATCCCAGGACTCTGGGACCATGACCTGAGCTGAAGGCAGTTGCTTAACCAACTGAGCCACCCAGGCACGCAAATAAAGTCTTTTAAAAAAATCCCAAGAAATACATACATACATACAAGTAAACTACTAAAACTAATAAACTAGTTTAGTAAGGTGGCAGGATATAAGATCAATATACAAAAACAAATGGCATTTCTATATATTAGCAATAAATATTCTGAAAATGAAATTAAGAAAACAATTCCATTTATAATAACAGAATAAAAAATAAAATATTTTGGAATTAATTTAACAAAAGAAGTACAGAACTTGTACACTGACAACTACAAAATACTGTTGAAAGAAATTAAAGACATAAATAGAAAGACATCCATGTTCATGGATCAGAAGACTTAAGACAGCAATAGTATTCAAACTCATCTATAGATTCAATCCAATCCCTGTCAAAGTCTCAAATGTTTTTTTTTGTGTGTGTGTGTGTGCAGAAATTGACAAGCTGATCCTAAAATTCATATAAAAATTCAAGGGTCTCAAAATAGCTCAAGCCATCCTGAAAAAGGAGAACAAAGTTGGAGGACTCACATTTCTCAATTTCAAAACTTGATACAACTCTACAGTAATCAAAACAGCAGGGGTAGTAACATAAAAATAGACATATAGAACAATGGACTAGAATTCAGTGTCCAGAAATACACTCTTACATTTATGGTCAATTGATTTTTGACAAAGGTGTCAAGATAATTCAATGGCGAAAGATGAGTTTTTTCAACAAATGGTGCTGGGACAACACACCATGTGCCAAAGAATGAGGTTAGACCCTTTCCTCACACTATGTACAAAAATTAACCATAAATGGACATAGACCTAAATGCAAGACCTAAGCTCTCAGAAGAAAACGGAGGAAAAGACCTTTGTGACTTTGGATTCAGGAACGATTTCCTAAATATGACACCAAAAGAATAAATGACAAAAGAAAGACTGGATGAATGGAACTCATCAAAATGAAAAAGTTCTGCTTCAAAGGATACCATCAAGAAAGTGAGAAGATGGCCCTCAGAATGGGAGAAAATATTTGCAAATCATATACTTGGTAAGTATACATGTACTGATACTTGTATTCAGAATACATAAATAACTTATAATTCAATAATGAAAAGACAAATTTTATTTTATATAAAAGGGAAAGAATTTGAATAGAAATTTCTCTAATGAAGACATATAAGTGGCCAATAAGCACATGAAAAGATGTTCAATGTCACTAGTAATTAGAGAAATGCAAATCAAAACCACAATAAGATACCATTTTACTCCCAATAGGAGGGCTAAAATAAAAAAAGAGAGACATTAACAAGGGTTAACAAAACTCAAAACATATGTCCTTGTAAAAACCTACACACGAATGTTCACAGTAGCCTTATTTATAATGGCCAAAAAGTAACACAACCCAATATCTGTCAGCTGATGAATGGATAAATAAAATGTGATCTCTCTATATAATGAAATGTTACTCATCAGTAAAAAGGAATGAAGTCCTGATTCTACATTCTACAACATGGATAAAACTTGAAAACATGCTAAGTGAAAAAAATCCAGATTCAAAAGACTGTATGTTGAATGATTCCATTTATGTGAAATGTTCAGAACAGGAAAATCTATAGAGCCAGAAAGTAGATTACTGTTTGCTGCGGGCTGAGGGAAGGGGGTGGAATGGGAAGTGACTACTAATGGGTACAGGATTTCCTTTGAAAGTGATGAAAAATGATCTGGAATTGGATAGTGATGAAGGTTACGAAATCCAGTGAATTATATACTTTAAAAGGGTAAATTTTATGTTATGTAAATTAGATCTCAATAACAACCACAGAAATCTGGGGGGGGGGGATGGGTTATACATTGTGTCTTACCTTTTGTAGAAAAAAGAAGGGACAAATGTCTCCGTTTACTTTTGCAAAAAGCAATGCAGGAAGAATAAAACAGAAAACAATAAAGTCAGTTATCTACAAAGGGTCGAGGTGGAGGAACAAGATGTTTTCTGTTGGATGATTCTAGCTAGCCAATATCACAGAATAATACACAAAGAAAATATTGTTTGCAAATCACTAAAAATTAAGAGACTCAGTAAGGATCTGTTCATGTGTTGACTTCACATTAGGAAAGAAGGAAAGGAGGGCAGGAGGGAAGGAAAGAAGATAAAATGATAGAAAAGAAGGTAAAGAAGGAAGAAAGGGAAGGAAGGAAGGGGAGGAGGGGAAGAAGGAAAGAAGGGAGGAGAGAGGGGGCAGGCTAAGGGGAAGAAGGGGTGGAAGGGATACCCTGGCATCTGCTGTCATAGTGGTAGCATGTCTCAGGTTTCTCTATCTTATAGGCTGACCTTTGCATCAGCAGGACAGCCCCACCGGGGCATGGGATAGAAGGATGCCTGCTGGACAGCCACCATCAAGGCATTTTTCTGAGCTGCTTGGCATGCAAGGGTCACTTGCATATTTTCCACTCCTGAATGGAATAAGAGCTAAAGGAAGAAAATGTGAAAGGTATTAGGAATTTCTGCCATAAAGAAAGAGATGAAGTAGAGGATTTGAGATCACCACTTATTTAACATGTCAACATAGGAATCAAACTGCACGGTGAGCTGAGAATCCTTGCTCCTTCTCAGCCACAGGAGTGAATCTGGTCTCTCTCTAAGCACCATTTCATCCCAGGAAGGCACCCTCCTGGTCCTATTTGCCCTGTAGCTGGACACCATCAGGTTTCTGGTCAGAAAAGGATGAGTAGGCTCCGATGAACTAGCAAACGTGCCCAGTGGCAGCCTTTTAAAAACCGCCAAGATTAGATTAACGTTTAGAAAATCCACACACAGGCGTGCCTTGGTGACTTGGTCAGTTAAAAGATCGGACTTTGGCTCAGGCCATGATCTCGGGGTCCTGGGATTGAGTCCTGAAGTGGGCTCCACATTCAGCAGGGAGTCTGCTTGTCCCTCTCCCTCTGTCCTTCCCCCGCCCCCACTCATGCTTTCTCTGACTGCCTCTCAAATAAATAAAATCTTTAAAAAAAAATTCAAAAAATAAAAAATACACAAATACAAACTTACACATACATGCACAGGAGCAAAGAAATTCACTTAAGTGGAAGGGGAAAAATAACAGCACCAAATTTAAGATGATCAGGTAAAAGCTCCAATAACAGGTGCATATTTTAAAAAGCTGGCACAAAGATGGCTCACAACATGTGCTTCCTTTTAAAACCTAACAGAAGTTATTGCAAGCGGTGGTGCAGGCTCTAGGGTTCAAACCAGACCAATACACACAACAAATAAGACAAAGTGATCATCATTATTTATGAGCCAGAAGCTTTTTTTCTACATGGGATCCAAACATCTGAATTAAATATGATGATTTTTAAAGAAATACGTAAGCAAATTGCTTAATTTTACTTTAGTTTTCTTTAAAAAAATAATTTACCTTAAGGATGGCTTCCTTTGTATAAAAGCTGAACTTGCCAACCTGGTTATCATCCACCTCAGAGATGGCTAAGACAAGGGTAGCAGGAGCATATCTGCAAGAAGAAACATGACATTGTTCTGTTGTTCTGTGCTGTTAGTCAACAGATGCCCTTTCTGATGGGACCAAATCGTATGCGATCAGCTCTGAGACATCCACAATAATACCAAGTACAGATATTACATAAGACTTGATATTTCTGCCCAAAGACTGAGGGCTCTGGGGTCTTTTCAATCCTTATGGGACTTGATCTCCCTGCAGTTTCCTTGTGGTGACCACTGACTCCAAATTTTTTTCTCTTGAAACCCATTCTACTGTTTTATCCTGTTTCTCTTTGTACCTTTGACCTCATGTCTTCAGGCTCTTCACTAACTCAAGCCCCTTTGTCCACTCCCTAAAAGCTGTCCAGTTCTTGCTCTCTTCCATTGCCCCAGTAATTTTCTAAATGTTCTTTGCAACCATGTTTATGCCTTGGGATATGGTCCTTTGTCCATACCTATGAGATTTGGTCAAGTAACTTAGCATCTATGAATCTTGGTTTCTTCATCGGTAAATGGGAGATATCACCTATCTCATAGGGTTAAGGCAAATATTAAATGGGATAATATGCATGAACATGCTTTTTAAAATGTAAGCCACTATGCTCATGTTTGATATATGTTGTTATTATAACAGCACTCCAAAGTGGCAACTTCAAGGAATTAACATACATAAAATAAATGCAAACTCAAGAGACAAGATCCTTGGATGCATAAACCTTCCCCTGGTAACTCAGAAGGCTCCCAGATCTTGTAGGAGTGTTGGGTCATTGTTGGGAGAACCAATCACAGCTTGACCAGGTCACAGATGATTTGGGCACTTTGTGCTGATTGGTTGATTCCAGTTGAACAAAAATATGCCCTATTTCACATCAGTGTAGAATACCAGCTCCAGTAGGAGGCCCTTGAAGAGCCAGAGAATAGCTTGGCTCCAGGTTGGAGACCTGGTTAGCCTCATCTGAGGCCCAATCACCCTTCCTGCCTTCTGTGAGATATCTCTATATCCTTATGATAAATTCTCTTTTTGGTTTAGCTAGTGCGACAGGTTACATTAGGAAATATTTTGCCTCCGGGGGACATTTGGAAATGTCTGGAGACATCTGAGATTGTTACAGTCAGGAAGGAGATGTGTTACTGGCATTTAGGAGGCAATGGTCAGGGGTGCTGATAAGCCATTTCTGCTGCACAGGACAGCCCCCTCTAAGAAAGAGTTACCCAGCCCCAAATCTCGATAATACCAAGGTTGAGAAATTCTATTCATACTCTATCATTCTAACCTTCTCCATTTCAACCCATGGTCTTTTTGGAGAAGAGAGGAGTCCTTTAACGTATTAACACATCAAAGTTACATTTTGAGCGCTAAGCCACACTAGCAAAACAAAGGTGACTTTTCCCCCCTTGGAATCATCTTTGCTTTCCTTGGGGTGGGGCCAGTACCAGGAATCTCCAGGGACAGAGCTAGGACCCTCAGGGGAAGGACAGATTAGAAGAGAAGGAGAGAATAGGGAGACAGAGGTTTCTTCTCAGCACACATCAAAGGCTGACTCTGCCCAGAGGAAAAGGATTCTTTTCCCAACTAAGTAGATTCATGATCTGCCACTAGCCAGAGTGTTTTCTTTCCAGCAATGGGCTGAACCTATGGGTCATGAAGAAGTTTCATTGCTTTGAGTCTGCTCCTGCTGCTGGCCAGCAAAAGAGTCGGACTGAGATATTGCCATGCATGTTAGATTCGTACATGATATTAGAGTTTCAAGGAAACAGCTGCTCAAAAATTTTGACTGACTTCTTCCTCATTCCAGGGAAAGTAAGAAGTGATCTGGACTTCTGGTCCATGGTTCTTGCCCCATGAGACAAACCCTCCCACCTCCTTATACCCAGAAGCAACATGGTCAACCTGGGCAGTGGCTGAGCCTGTGATTCTATCTCACTTGAGCTCTCTGATCCAATTCTTCCATTAATCAGTGTTTTTCAATTCAATTATCCCCCTTCACTGAGATCTCCCCTGCCCCTTAGTAAAGAAAAAAAAAAAAAAGAAAAAAAAGAAAAAAGAAATGGCATCATGACAGATAGAATATAAGAGAGGGAATTTGGAAATAAAATTGTATTTGTGTGCCAGTGGTGATAGAAATTATTTTTCACTGACCGTTCATTCTACCACTACATTATTTTCACTTTGACCTTTTCAAGGCTCACCTGTCCATTTGATCACTGTCCTCCAGCAGAGAGGTGATAAAGACAGGAGGAGGGTGGTCCACTTTGTCTTTGAGTGATGCAAATTCAAAGTGAATGGGCCTCAGATACAAATGGAACTCTTCAAAACCCATCTCCCATGCCAGTTCCTTATAGAGACTAAAGGGGGGGGGGGGTAGATAAAGAACCAAGAGCATTTGCTATTATTTTCCACTAAAAGAAAAGTAAGTGGTAAGAAAACCCAAAAAATCTGAATAAGCACAAAAGTAAAAATCAAAACAAGAGTAAGCCAAGTCCAGTATAAGTAAATGAGTCATAAAGGTCTTGCATCCACTTTACGCTATGACGGACAGTTAAATATAGTAGTTAAAGTAGGAGGAGATATGCTTGGGCACTTCCTCCACTCTCATTTCCTGCAAACTGGCTTCTGTCTTCATAGTGCTCATTGGGTCACCCATACTGCTTTCAATACAAGGCTCACTATTTTCTCTCAGATCTCTTTACAGCTGGTAACTGTCCTTTCTTTGAGGAACATCTTTGTTCTCTTGGATTCAGGGTCTTCACACTCCTGCCTCATGACCACTATCTCTCAGTCTTCATTGGCTTCTCTTCCTCTTTTATTTTCAAATCCTAGTATTTCCTGAGGTTTTAAACCTGGTCCTCTTCTCATCTTTTCTGTCCCCTCCTTGGGGAGTTCATCTTCCAACCCTAAGCCCTAATGATCACTCCCTAGTATAAGAACTTGTGAGCCTACCTCTGTCCTGTCCCAACTCTGAGCTCTACTCCCACATTTACATGGCTTGCAGCAAGGCCCCGTTCAGATGCCCCTCTGGCAGGTCAGCCTTAAGAGTCTAGAATGTCTCCCCACCCCCCATACCCACATTCTAACACATTTCTCCATTTTTGAAAAGTTGGTACATTAAGGCTGAATTCAAAGGGCACCTCTATTAGTTTGCTAGGCTCCTGTGACAAAGTACCATAAACAGAGATTTGTCTCACAGTTCTAGAGGCTAGAAGTCTGGGATCAAGGTGTTGGTAGGGTTGTTTCCTTCTGAGGGCCGTGAGGGAAGGATCTGTTCCAAGCCCCTCTCCTTGGCTTACACATGGCCATCTTCTGCTTGTGTCTTCACATCATCTTCCTTCTTTGTATGTCTGTGTCCAACTTTCCTCCTCTTATAAGAACACGAGTCATATTGGAACAGGGCCCATCCTAATCATTTCATTTTAACTTGATTCCCTCTGTAAAGACCCTACCTTCAAATGAAGTGACATTCTGAGGCACTGGGGATTAGGACTTGAACACACGAACCGGCCAGGGGACACAGTTCATCCCTCAACAGTGCCTCTTTTATGAAGTTTTCCTTGATCCACTTATAAAGAATGAAATAATACATTTTCTGAGTTCCTATAGTATTTTGGTTGTATGACTAAAATATCATATTAAACTGTAGTAGAACTAACATTTAAATTGTGAGCTCCCTGAAAACAAGGATCAAAAATTATGGGGTGGCAGTATCATAAATAAAAATATCTTAACTTATAGTTTGAATTCTGCTTCTAGTACTTTCTAGTTATGTGATCTTAGGCAAATTACTTAACTTTCTGAGCCTCTACTTCCTTGTTGGTAAAATATTAGTAAGGATATTCTGGAAATTCAATGAATGAATACACATAAAGTCCCCAGTACAGACCCTGGCCATAGCAGGCCCTCAGTAATGGTTGGTGGTAGATGACTGGACCCTTTAGGCTGTATGGCCTCTCATGAGGAATAGAACATAACTCATACATGTTTGCAACAGACCCTTTAACTCCATATCTTTCCTGTTCATAGAACATGTCCACTTGGATGTCTTCCCATCTACTACACACTCATACCTTAAACCTAACTCTTCAATCTCTCTGTCTCTCCTTCTTGAATCTTCCAAACCTCTGCAGGCCTGGCTACTGTCACTGACTCCCTCACCTCCCTCTAGTCTCTCTACTGCTTCTGCTCTGCTATTCAACCTCATCATAATTAAGAGCAAATCCAGTAAATACTCAGAGGGACCGTGTAGGTCAGGCCTCATACCGGGTGATGGGATACCACAGGAAGCAACATGGACACTGTTTTTGCAACCAGAGAGCTTACACCAGCAGGAAAACTGATAAACCAGTTTTAAGCATCTAAGTCAAAGGCAATGTACTGAATGGAGAGGAAGCCCAGGTGCTGGGAAGAGGGCCTAGCCTAGCTGAGTGGTCAGAGAGGCATGTAGGGTAGCCTGGGTGGAGAAGGAAGAAGTGAGCAAAGTGGTCATTTCAGCCATTTAGAAAGCTCACTCTGACTGCCCTAGAGCACCAAGGGAACAAGACTTATAGACAGGGAAACCTGTGGTCTGTTCTCCCCCACCTAGATCCTTAGTTCCCCTACTGACCGAGCTAAGTGTACACTCTCCAGACTCATTTCTATTAGCCGGTGGCGGAGGGTCACAAGTTCCAGAAGTTTCGAAAATGTCTCCAGGAGGTGCACAGAAGAACCTTGGCTTTGGTTCTGTCCTTCGTCTGCGGCAGACTTGAGAGCAAGCAGACCTATCTCCTCCAGGAGAAAGGGATCTCCCATTACTTTAGCTGAAAACAGCTGGAAGAAAACAAAAGCACTTTTAAAAACTTAAAAAAGAAAGTTCGTACATTAAGAAAAACACTGTAGGTGGCACAGCCTCTGGAGCCAGATTTCCCGGGTTCAAGTCCTAGCACTGCCACTTCTAAGCCTGTGTAATTTTGCTATCTCTCAGTTCCCTCATCTGTAAAGGGGGATAAGAATAGTAACAGTAGCTGAGAGGAACAAGTAGATAATAATTACCTAATAGAACTGTTGGGAAAGTTTAAGGCCACAGTTTGAACCACAGAACATTAGAGTTGAAAGGGACTTTAGAGACCATCAAGCTCACTTCCATCCTCCTCTCCTCAAATACACAAACATAATGTTAGAATATAGGAAAGGGAAGCTCAGAGAGGCTAAGAGGTGTGTTCAGAGTCACGCAGGAAATTAATGGCAGGGCTGAACTTGAGTCCAGGTCCCTGACTCCTCACTCAGTACTCTCTCTCTCCTGTACCAGATCTCAGCTCAGGACAAAAAGAGGGAATTTCAGGAATAGTCTCAGTGAAAATGAAATATATAACTTTTAATAAAAATATATATTGTTGGGAGCCTGGGTGGCTCAGTGGGTTAGGCCACTGCCTTTGGCTCAGGTCATGATCTCAGGGTCCTGGGATCGTGCTCCGCATCAGACTCTTTGCTCAGCAGGGAGCCTGCTTCCCTTTTCTGCCTGCCTCTCTGCCTGCTTGTGATCATCTCTCTCTCTCTCTGTCAAATAAATAAAATCTTTAAAAAATATATATATATATATAGTTAAAAAATATATATATATATTAGGCCTGAAAACATTTCCCACATACCTATGTACATCTCCCTTCTAAATGTAGCAGTATCCTGAGTAGGAACTTTGACCAAAAATGAAAAAAGAATTACATAAAAATGTTGGCAAGGCCTAGGGCTATGATCTGTCTCTGGCCAAACAGGGGAGGAACAGAGCCAAACAGAAAAACATAGCTAAGTAGTAACATCTGGGTGGAAACATTCTCTTTGCCAAGGAACCCCCGCCTCCCCGACCCTCTTCAGAGAACCTACATCCCTCTGGAGCTGAGTGCTGTACCAGGACTCGGGCCTGGCCGGTGTAAGCCACGTATCCAGGGCCAGCCGCAGCACACGTCTCTCCAGCAAGGTGAAGCTGCTGGCGGATGTTGGTCTGCAGGTGTGGCGGGCCTCCTGGAGGAGGTGCTCAAGGGATCGGGAGATGAGTGATGCCAGGCCCAGGGAAGGATGGAACTCCAGCAGATAAATATTTTTCAAAGCTGGGCTTAAAAAGAGGACCAATCAATGACAATTTTACACAATGAAGAACTTAATCTTTTTCAAAAGATATTTGAATTTTTCATTTTTTAAGACTTATAAAATAGCTGCTATACTCCAGGGCATTATAAAAAATTAGAAGTTCAAAGGGGCCAACGAGGCCATCCAGACTCCACCCAATTATACAACATGCCCTTTGCTTTAACATGAATCCCTTTAAAAGTGGAAGCTGTAAGAGTTTATTCCTAAAAGTCCAATCTGATTCTTTTTGCTTGTTTAATTAAACTTTTTCATTGTGAAACCATTTTAGATTCACATGCAATGGTAGGAAACAGTATACAGAAAGATCACACATCTCCTTTACCCAGACTACCCTAATGGGTCTTCAACTGTATATGGTAAACCTGTAAACATTAACTGGCATTCAAATATTTGAAAACAACTTAAAGATGAAAATATAACTTAAAAGTAAAAATATTAAACAAATAATGTCCATGACTGGTTTCTATATTTTTCCATGAGTCTTTATCCTTTTCCCCCCAAATGGTAATAAACAAAGAGAAATTTTAAACTCTGTACACAGCTGCTGGAATCATTCATGTTCTCCATAAGAATGTTCTATCTTATAAATGGGTGAGACCAGAAATGAGAAAATGCTTGTCTGTCGGTATTCCTTTCAAAATAGAGGATACAGCATAAGTCAAGGGCCTTTCCATATCTACATGGTACTAAAGAGCATAAATACTTCTTAAACCTATGCAAATGGGATTCTTCTTTGTTCTAGGTCTTAAAAAATACAACCCTAAGGTTGGAAAGGAATCTCATTAAGCAAATAACATTTGCTTTTGAGACTATTCTGACAGGTCTTTGTACCCATATAGTTCTACCAAGTTCTGCCAAAAACCCATTTCCTGAACAATAGAGTCTTTTTCATAGCCAGCCCCCCCTCCCGCCCCCCCGGCCCAACTGATGTCCCAAGCTTGTTACAGTGAAGAAAACACTCCTGAGAAAGGTCCGTGGAGAACATGCTGTCTTGTGCCTGGAACTCCCAGGGCTCTTTCTTAAGGGATAAGGTTGGAACATAAGCTATGAAATCCCCCGACAACCTGCTGGTCCCCAGGAGGATTCCATAGCCCAGTGTGGCAATGTCCCACTGAAAGTGTGCACTTGACAGGAGCGCCAGGCCGTGCCTCGATTGTTCACAACTGTGCCCTCACCTCCCAGCACAGTGGCCTGAGAGCTATAGGAGCTCAACAGGTACTTGTTACATGTGGAAAGGAGCTGGACAAGTTCTTCACCCTTTGAAGGCCATAGAAAGATTGTGATCACGGGCCCTGCAGACCAGCCTGGGGTTTATCACCCACTTGCCGATTCCCTCACTACCCTCCTCAGCCAGGAAGGAATGGGAATTCAAACTACACGTCAAGGGGGTGACTTAAAGTTATGTACCTTCTCTGAGTGATCTTGGGAAATTTAATTTGCTCCTTAAAGGGGTAGGGGTCACAGGTGAGTCTGCGGAAACCTTTTTGGTTTCTAGAATAAATAGCTTCCTAGAAACTAGAATAGATTCCTAGAGCAAATAGATTTCTTCTTGAGACACTTTAAAGCACATCCAAGTTTCATATACATTGGCTTACGTGGTACTTCAGGTTAAACCCTCGGATGACATTTTAAGAGTAACTGCTTTTTTTTAATAGAAATTCTCAAGGGAAAAGATTCTGTACCCAGTGGTATAATTTTAAATTCTAGCCTCGTGTTCTTTATTACTTACAATAATGCTTACAAAACAAATGGATATTGAGCATGCAAGAGAAACGGGGCACCCGGGTGGCTCTGTGGGTTAAAGCCTCTGCCTTCGGCTCAGGTCATGATTTCAGGGTCCTGGGATCGAGCCCCACATCGGGCTCTCTGCTCAGTGGGGAGCCTGCTTCCCCCTCCCCCTTTGCCTGCCTCTGCCTACTTGTGATCTCTCTCTGTCAAATAAATAAATCTTAAGAAAATCTTAAGAAAAAAAAAAGAGAGAGAGAATCCCTCTTTGAAGGCCTTTATATCCCCTTCACTCATCTCCCCAAATAATTGAGAGGTACTTTATAGACTATTTAGACTTAACATCATACACTTAACTTATCCAAGAGATTAAATGTAAAATGTCTAAAGACAATGCCACCATACCAGCTATTGTTGATGGAAATAAGTTGTTTGCAAATTATGTTAAGGGGAAGTCCAAAGCTACTGCTATCATCTGGACGGCCTTCCTGCCAAAGCCTCTGGACATACTCCCGCTGACGCTCTATCTAGAAATGTAGCATAAAAGTTAAAATTAGAAAAGTTAAGCTTTCCCATGGCTGTGAATTATGAGCCCTGATATGCGAAGAACAGCAGTCCTTTGCGTCCCTTCATTATTTGACTAATTTTCACCCAGACACGGTCCTGAGGATCCACTTACACAAAGACACGCTGGTCTTTCAGTCTGAGCCCAGGGTCAGCCAAGAAAGGCAAAGGCAACCAAATTCAGACAATCTTAGGAGGCACAGGAAAACTTTCTGTCAAATAATTGACTACAAGGAAAAAATTCTAACCAGGTCTAGGGTAAATGCGCTGTAACAATCCATCTCCTGCTTACTTCCTGCCACTGGCTTTCCCCCCAGAGGACCTACACTGTAATTTTTCCTTTAGCGTCCTAAAAATAGCCACAACTCTTAAAAATAATAATAAACCTCACTTTATACATTCATAGCTTCTAAAGGGGGTAAGTTCATCCTCCTTTCAATACCACGAAACTCTATCATCTAGTGAAAATAAGCTTTCTATTTTTTGTGGACCATTAAATGTAATTAGGGTTGGAAACTTCCTTTTAAGACCGTAGTTATGCTTGGAATTCAACAATGCATATGAGCTTTCAAATAAACACGCCGTACGCGCTGCCTTAGAAAACCCGGATTCTGAACACGCGATGAAAGGAAAACACTTTTCGGTTCTGGCCTGGGTTTTCCATCGTCTTCCCATATGTGATATTTTAAAACCCAAATGTACTTACGTGCTGATTGAGGATGCCCCTCACTAGCTCCAAGTGAAGCCTCAGGCAGGTGCCCTCATCTCGGTAGGCTTTAAGGAAATAAGGGCGGCTGAGATCAAACCTCGGGCGCCTGTGCATTAGGTCAGTGATCACTTGTGCTAAGGCAAACCTCTCCTCAGGGTCCAACACGTGCTGGTAGGCTTCGAAGTAACTGTCAAGAAGCTGCGGATAAGGTTTGCGGTCAGGGAAGAGCAGAGGCAGCCCTAGGCTCCCGCAAAGAGAGGAGAGCCCCCCACCCTCCCCCCCAACTTTGGAAAGCCTCCCCGGGGCATCAGCAGCAGAGAGAAGGGCTCAGACCCTCCGGATACCAGCCTGGGGCGGGCAGCGGCAGCACCAGTGCAACCCCAGGGTCCTTAGTAAACCCACAGAGGTAGGGAGGGCAAAGCAAGGAACACTAGTTTTGCCTGTGTCCCCTCTTCCTCTGCTCTCCACAAATAAGGGGGGGGGGTTATCTAATGAATAATATAACATCTAATCGTTATAAGCTCCAATGAGACGGGGCAGGCAATGTCACTTGGTCAGATATATTTATCTGCAATCTCGTTCCCCAAAGACTCATTCTCCGCTTCCATTTTACTCCAGCACCAAACATGGAGTGGCTTCCTCCCCTCTTTTTTTTTTTTTTTAATTTATTTGAAAGAGAGAAAGCACACAAGCCGGGGGCGGGGAAGAGGCAGGAGGAGAGGGAGAAGTGGGCTCCCTGCTCAGTGGTATGGGGCTCCCTCCCAGAACCCCAGGATCATAACCTGAGCCAAAGGCAGACGCTTAACCAATGGCGCCTCCCAGGCACCCCTTCCTCCCATCTTCTTATGCTCAGCAGCATTTCTGACCCCTTTTCTTTCATAGTTGGCCCACATTTCACCCAGAAATGATAGGGGGGGTAGAAAGGAGGGCTGAGGTGAAAGTCCCCTAACTACAGAGGCATTTATCCCAGACAGGACCCTGTGAGGGAGGGCTTCGCGTCCAGAATTCTCAAAGGCATTGAGGGAACTTCTTTTCTAGTGGAGGTCACAAACCTTTTCTAAAAACCAAAGAAAGCTCCCAGACGCTAACCCAGTAACCATGGAAGAGGGTTCTCAGTGTGGGAATTCAGAGACACTCTTTATTTTGCTTTTACATTTTTCTGTGACCTTAAGAATTTATGTTCTGTATATAAATTCTGTTTGTGTGCAATTAGTCATGGTGCTAATCAGGAAAATGCTCTTGAGAGATCCCTGGGCTGGAATCCCAAACAGGGACCTAAGGGCAAGATAAACAGTTCTGGACAGTGTAATTATGGTTCAGGGCTGTCGCACATTATATTAAATATATTAAGATGTACTCATATCCCAATCAAGTACTTTCCTGTAAAAAGTTTAAATGATATTCATAATCTTGCTTTTTAAGTTATTTGGCTACGAACAACACACTGAATTAGTGATCAGCTATGATTTCTGGGCAGTATACGTTCAGAGGTTCTTATGAAGTGAGAAGATCTGATCTATAAATTTTCAAATGTAATGAGATGTTTAGAAGTGCTCAGTTACCACATTTTTACATTTTGCTGACATGTAATTAAGCGTTTATTGATAATTTTGTATTTTCTTTTCATATTTCAGGGTCACACATGTGTTTTTCCTCAAATTGCAAATATTTTCAATGGACCCTGCAAAGCTCTTAGGTCCTAAACACCGAGTCCACATTGCCTGATGGATAAGTCGGCTCTGACTGGAAGCTTTTAAGGCTTTATTCATTCATTCCACAGCAGAACAAATTCCTTTCCTCTGCAGATCTAATCCAACACATCCTCCCTTTGAGTTTTTGCTCAAGATGTCCTTCCCCAGTCTTCTTCTTCTATTTTTTTTTTTTTAACTTATTTGACAGAGATCACAAGTAGGCAGAGAGGCAGGCAGAGAGAGAGGAGGAAGCAGGCTCCCCGCTGAGCAGAGAGCCCGACTTGGGGCTCGATCCCAGGACCCTGGGAATATGACCTGAGCTGAAGGCAGAGGCTTTAACTCACTGAGCCACCCAAGTGCCCCCCTTCCCCAGTCTTCTTTCGCTAGCTCCTCTTAGGCAGGTTTCAGTGTTCTGGAAGGTGTCAGCACCCATTGTAGCCATATCACCAAAGTCACATCGGCTTGCTCAGTGTGTGCCTCTAACTGGCAGCAAGGAGTGAATTGTTGAGGTTCCAGGTTCTACCAACCTGACAGCCCAGCACACTTTGACGTGCATCAGAGAAAGAGTGTGTCTTGTTTCCTTGGGTGTTAGTCTTCCCCGTGGCTTAAGGCCAGGAATTCAGCCCTCCTCTTAACAAACGAAGAAATTTCCTAAAAGGAGACAAGAGCCCCTCTTTTTGTCTGGAGCCCAGAACTAAGAACACAAAACCAGAAAGAACTGAGAAGGTACAGGCCCCACTTGAATACAGGTGACAACCGTGCAGGAGGCAAAAGGGAGTAAAGGATCCACGTGAACGGAAAAGCCAGGAGCGTCTCTGTCTTGCCACTCATGGCTTCCAAGGCTCTGGAAAGAGGTAAACACTCGAGCATCAGTAGCAGACCGGGAATCAAATACTGCCTTATTAATAGATGTCCAGTATCTGGCTTTCAGTGCTAAAGCACAAGGAGGGAGGGCCTGGGGCACTTTACTTAGCATGCGGTTTTGCAGGATATCCTTTGGGAAACATTGGTCTAAGGGACCTTAGGTCAACCTTAGCACAAAAAGGAAAACACCAAAGGAGGCTAAAAGCTCAGAACACGCAAGGCGTTCTGCAGGTTAGAGACCCACATATCTCAGAGTGAGAAATGAAGGAAGGTAGAGATTGCCAGGCCTTTAATGAGTCCCAGGGAAAATGAAGCAAGTAGGGTGATCTGAATTACCTGTTCCCCCTGCCGAGTTCTGCTCTAGAATAGCATTCAATCATTAAATACCGGAAGACAAAGCAGAAATGAAGGAGTGGTGGGTAAGACAGTTGTCACTCAATAGCCTGGAGTGGGGGGAAATCAGAAAAGAAACAATTACTTCCCCAAATCATTCTGGACTAACTTGAGCCTTTTTGACTGGGCCAAGGCAATCCCAGGAGCCGGTTTATAGCATTTGTATGCCTTGACCTGTTTTTTTGGTACAAAGCGTCCTATTGTTTGGCTTTTTGGCAAAAGGTCGTGGGGGACAGTTCTTGCTGGTGATTTCAATCTGCTGATACCAGGTTGCAGAGGTTGGCACTAAAAGGCCAAGCTCACTTGTGTTGTTCATAGGATTGCCAGATTTAACAAATAAACCTAGAGGTCATCGAGTTCCATTTGAATTTCTGATAAACAACAAACAACTTATTTGGTATAAGTATGTCCCAGATACTGTCACGTTTTACTTGGCAGCCCAAGCTCTTGAAAAAGAAAATGTGGCTCTCTTTTTTACATTGAATAGCCTTTCTCAAGCATTGACCTCAACCTTGAGACACTCTCAGATGGGCCCTTACATAATTTTATTATTAATTCTTTCCCAACATGGGTAAGACCATGATCTTTCTGCTTCACAAGGTTCTATTTATGGTCTGTTTGCTAACTGGCCCATTTCCATTTAAACTCTGGGCTGGTATTTGTCTAAGAAGTCTTCCTAGCCTGTCAAATGTCACCTGTGTGTGTCAAGGGCCAACTCTCAGGCAAAATAATATATGGTACACACTGATGGGAAGTCTCAAATATTGGAGAAAATAGAGAAAAAAAAAGCCAAAATGAATAATCTCAAACCTGACTGTGTTTATATTATTTTTACCCCAAACTCTATATTCTGGGACTTAAGAAACTTTAAAAAATAGCACTTTAGGTCAAATGAAAGTGCAAAAGAGAAAATCAGTGCAGTCACTGATTTTTCTGTCACGGTTTTATTTTGTTTTGTTTTTAAGTGCTCCAAACGTTTATTCAAACTGCCTTGAAAAATGTGTCCTCTGGTGGTTGTAGACAGAATTAGCATTTGGGCCACGTGTCCCTTAGTGGCTGGTACAGCTGATGCCTGGCTTCTCTAAGAGTTCTTAATCCACCTAAATTCATATCAGCTCTAATTTTATGAATGTTTCTACATAATATGGTTACTTTAAGGATTTAAGACAACCCAGTGTGTTTGAGCAATTCCTAACTCTGGTGATTCCAATATATTTAACAATCAAAAACAGCTGAGCAAACTTGGCAGGAGAATCAGTACTGGGAGAAATCAATTGTACTCCAGATAAAAATATGGTTTATCCATTAAAAATAGGCTCTTTTGACAGAATTTCTGATTTAGAAGGCCACACTTTCACAGTTTTGGCATAGATGGCTCAGGTTTTATAGAGAACGTATTGTCAGGGTGAGAAAGGAGGGAAACATTTTCAATGATTTTTTTTTTAAGTTAAAATAATTTCATTTACCATAGAAGAAACTGGTGGAGAGCCCTGGTAGCTTAGCACAGAATGAAGCATGGGCCAAAGTGTGGAGAAATCTGTTTGTTTTTCAGCCCTCTTTGTCCTTCTATTCTTCTCTGGGCACTGAGTCCTGCCTGGGGCCTCTGTAGGAGGCCTAGGAGCCCTGAAAGGGGAGGCGGGGAGAGAGAGTCCAGAAAAGGAGGGCTGCTAAAAACTCATATGTCTGGACCAATAAACTTGTCGAGTTTAGAGATTCTGTCTTATTCACCTTTAATGTGGCCTTTTCAATTACTACATTCTGAGTCTAGATCTCTCAGTCGATCAAAGTTTCTAACTGCCAGGTCAAGGTTGCAGACGCAAACTCTGCGGAGGCCAGTTCCCCTTCAAAAGAGGAACAATATTCAAAGCCCAAGGCTCCCACCCTTTAAGCCCAGCCAGGTGTTTTCAAAAATTGGGTGACCTACATCTCTATGAGTAATAGACCAGAAAGTAGATGAAATGGTAAACTATCTAATCTACTAGAAAAACAGTTCAAAGAAAACCTTCCCACTTCCTCATCTTCTGACCACATCACAGTGCACTGTAAGCTGCCTTCCACCCCCATACCTCTTCCTGAGAGTCCTACGAAGCTGGCAATGACCCTGATGACTGACCCCACTGCCCCCTTCTTCAGGAGTCACCTCTCTTGATGTTTCTCTGCACTCCACACTAGTAACTATCCTCTCCTACTTAAAAAAAAAAAAAAAATTCCCCTTAGTGGCTTTCATCACACTATTCCTTCCTTTTTCCTCCAGTTTCTTTGGCTTCCTCTTTTCTTTCTCGTAGATTCTTTTTTTTTTTTTTTAAGATTTTATTTATTTAGTTAGTTAACAGGGAGAGAGAGATCACAAGTAAGCAGAGAGGCAGGCAGACAGAGAGGGGGAAGCAGGCTTCCCGCTGAGCAGAGAGCCCGATTCGGGGCTCTATCCCAGGACCCCGAGATCATGACCCGAGCTGAAGGCAGAGGCTTAACCCACTGAGCCACCCAGGCGCCCCACGTAGATTCTTATTCTATGCCCTTCCCCTACAATTTAAGTGTTACCCACAGCTGCAGCTCAGACATCTCTGGCTTTTCCTAGTCATTTGATTCATTACTGTGGTTCAATGTTCACTTCCATACCTCAGCTCATACCTGCTCCTGACTTTCAAACCTCCAGCTCCCACAAAACATGCACACCTGTTTTAGCAAACTCTCCTCACATGCCTATTGCCACGAACTCAGTAATACTATCTTTCCCTCTAAAGTGCCCCTCCTCCTGCATTCCATTTCGGTTAATAGCCTCTTCCCTGACCCTGAGAATGTCATTTTTAATTCCTTACTCTCTCACCCCAACATCCAGGCTTCAAATCCTGCCATGTCCGTTTCTGTACCATTTCTGCAAACATTTCTCGAGCCTGCCCCTTCCTCCTGTTCTCACTCTTCCATCCCTGGGGTAGGTCCCCTCCTACCTCTCCAGGTCACTGTTGCAACAAGGGCACCTGTTTTCCACAAGAGCTCTACTCTAATCCGTTCTCCACATTAGTACCCGAGCAGCTGTTGAAAACAGGGCTACGATCATATTTCGCCTTTGCTGAAACTCACTAATGACTCTTTCCTTGCTTATAAAATACACTGTAAATGTGGATTAGCAGACCTTTCACAGCTGTACCCAGACACGTACTCTGCTCGTTTGTCATCATGCCTTCACGCCTAGTCACAGTAGCCTTCTTGTCCCCCGGTTCACACCTCCCTGACATCCCTCATGCTGTTTCCCTCGCTTAGGAATTTTTCCTTCTCTGACAGACAACATCTGACTCATCTCTTAGGAACAGGATTCACTATCTCTTCCTCTGAGAAAACTTGCCAACGTTTCCTTTACTCCGGTAGCCCCCACAGGGCAAATTGCTCCCTCCACTGTGGTCTCTGGGGATCTCACGTGTGCCTTAGCTGTAAGCTGTCCATCGCCGGATTGCAGTTTTTACTTCAGAGATGGGATCAAGTTCTATAGACTAGAAATTCCTTAAAGGTAGATTACCTTCTTGTATTTATCCATAGGTTCCTAATGTCTGGATAGTACCGGGTACGGGGTAAATACTTAATGTTTGATGGATAAACGCCCAACAGTTGGTGACCATAAGAGGGGCTCATAATCCACGCCGAGTTCACAGGTGAAGAGCAGTGTTTCATTTATTACTGGGATGTGAGCCATTGGTGATGCGATGTTGAATTTAGCAACCTTCTGTTTCATTGCTTTAAACTCACCCTCATAACTTGTTGCACTGAGCATACCTCGACCCGCTGCTTGCCCCACAGGTGGTGTATTTCTAAAGGCTCTAATAAGGTCAGATTGTGTTGAGCAGAATGAGGCTTGTCCCTGACAGGACAAAGAATGTGAATGGAACCATCACCCATTCTCACTAAACACATATATAAAAGCCTAAATTATACAGACCTCTAACAAATGATGCCTGTAAGATAAAGAGGTATCCTTCCCATTTTATTTTTTTTTAAAAGATTTATTTATTTATTTAACAGAGATCACAAGTAGGCAGAGAGGCAGGCAGAGAGAGAGGAGGAAGCAGGCTCCCTGCTGAGCAGAGAGCCCGATGCGGGGCTCAATCCCAGGACCCTGAGATCATGACCTGAGCCAAAGGCAGAGGCTTTAACACACAGAGCCACCCAGGCGCCCCTTTCCCATTTTATTTTTTATTAACAAGGAACCACAGTAAAGAAAATAAAATGTATTATTCACATCCTGACAACCAGCTGAGAGGATTTAAATAAAATAATTATTTATTTTATTAGGAGACTGTCTGAAAGCCCCACTGAGTTTTTTTCATCTGTTTTTTCAATACTGGCTTTTGTAAGAAATGTTTAACAGATGTTTTGTTTTCTAGGGAAAAATACCTGGCGCTTGTTTTCTAGAAGGGCTGCTTCCCAAGTCCACATGTCATACAACACAGCAAATCTGTCCACACTTGCATGGGCCCATCCCCAGTCCTGGCCAGTATTTGACTCGCTGCCCTCTTTGTGACCTGGAAGAGAGAAGGGGATGAGAATGACCAGAGACAGACCTTTCCATGAAGCTACTCTTATTAGAAAAGCAGCCCTTGAACTGTCAGCCCCATCTCAGGAATGAAAACACTGAATCAGTCCCAGGGATTCCTAAGAATCAGCTGGAGGGCCACTGGCAAAGACTGGGACATATTTGTTGACTTCTGAGTCAGTAGAGGTTTTTGTCTTTACTCTTCAATTTTAGTTTTAAAGACTAATTTTAGAAATGTAACTAAAATTCAGTTAATATGAAATCTTCACTAAAATGTCCTCAGACCTATAATTTAAAGGCCAAACACACATTTCTCCTTCTCTAAAAACAGGTCCCTGGTGGTTTAACAACAAACCCAGTTTAACCTGCTATTTCAAGTGATGTTAGCCAAGTAAAAACTCTTCAGAGAAGTTTCTAAGATATCCCTTAATTGGGTTAATTACTAACTTAAATCAATAAGGGTAATCATTGTAATTATTCTGTTAAAATATTTTCCCACTACATGAATGTTAATTTTCAGCATCAGCATGATTGTTGCTTTTAATATTTGAGTGGTCTAGTTCAGAATGAAATATCAAAAAAGTAAGAGATTTTCAGGAGCTGAACTTTGAGTTCAATAATTATATATGATGGGTACCAAACAAGAGAAAGATTTTGATCGGTTATTTCTCAAGAGCAGTTGGGAAATCATTTCACAATGGATAACTACATACTGACGAGCTCAGCTGAAGGAAGCTCATGGGGCTGATGACTACTGACTGTTTCCATCAAATTAAATTCTTAGCAGCTTGAAATAGTTGCATTGGATTATAAATGAGTATCAATAGAAGTGATGCATTAGTATGTAGAATAAAGTAAAGACAAAAGCCAAACGCTGCAATTAAATGCCCTGGAATGTTGGATGACATCAACGCATCTCATGATTCAGACACCCCATGGTCTGTGGCAAAGAGGGCAGAGTTCAAGCCAATGTTAAGTGAATTCTGTCTGGCTCTAAAAGGTTAACTGTCAAACATTCTTTGAGTAGCATTTTATATCAATATGAAAATGAATTCGTCTTCATTACCATCTACATAATTACAAAATAGCACAAATTCTTGCTAAATTTCCTTTTAGGTGTTGCAATGTGTCTAGAAACTCTTAAGCTCTTTCCAAATCAAATGCCAGTGTTGTCATATTATTCCAGAAGGATTACTCTTTCCTCACCTATTTCTTAAACATATATTCTTTTTTTTTAAAGATTTTATTTATTTATTTGACAGACAGAGATCATAATTAGGCAGAGAGGCAGGCAGAGAGAGAGGAAGGGAAGCAGGCTCCCTGCGGAGCAGAGAGCCCGACATGGGGCTCGATCCCAGGAACCTGGGATCATGACCTGAGCCGAAGGCAGAGGCTTTAACCCACTGAGCCACCCAGGCACCCCACTCACCTATTTTTAAAATTGGATACATTTGAGTGATGCCAAAAGGATGTAGAGAATACATATTATAGGTTATTTGATTACCCTAATGATTTCTCCCTTTGGTGCTTATCTGGCATTTTCCTACCCAGATCTTCTTGCATCCTGGTGAATTTGTCAGGAACCCAGGGATGTGTCTGCTTCTAATTGCTGCTTGCCCAAGGTTAATCTTTTTTTTTTTTTTTTTTGGTTGTTGCTTAGGGGGAAAAAAAAATCATTACCTTCACTTGCTTACTTTGCTTCCCTCAAGGCCTGGCATGACAGCCCTTGTACCCAGTGAGTAATGCAGAAATGCCACTGAGGAACGAGTAAGTCTCAACAACAGTAAGAATTATAATCAAGCTTCAAAAGAATAGTTCCGGTCTCCAACAAGAAGAGGGACTTGAGCTGGAAACAGGACCGTATCTTTTCTAAAGCAGGTGCATATCGGGGAGATGCATGTGCTTACTGAATTTTCAGATACTCTTGGATCTGCATTTCTATTTTGAGGCGGAGGGTGTTAAATGGAGCCCTTAGTGTTCATGGTTTGTTTGGCTGGTTGATTTTTTTCAAAATCTGGCTTCTGACCTTTTTCTTTCTCGATGTAATGGCTGGCCACAAGTAGCAGCTCTGCCTCGAGCTCCTTCAGATCGCTCAAGGCTTCATCGTACATGATATGTACTCCGTGTGGGTCCTGCGTGAAGACGGACGCAGCCCCCATGCTGTAGTAGTCGTCCTGGTTCTCCACTTCCGAGAACTCCATGAATCGGACACTGTGGACCTGGGGCAAAGAAAGCCAACCCCAGAAGTTACCAGAAAAGGGAGAGCTGTCTGTATTTTGCCAGCCCAAACGGACCACAGCGCAGGCTCCTGCTCTCATGCAGTGGGCTGTCCGCACGGAGCTGTACCTGCCGAGTGTATAAAGCACTGTATGTAGAGAAGGGGATATTAGCAAAGAATGTTGGCAGGGAAGGGTAGTGAGATGGATAAGTAGCTGATTAAGTTTTTTGCTGATTAATTCAGGGCTACCTGGAAAAAGGTGGGCGATAGAGCTGAGTGTACAGGAGGTCTCTGAGGTCAGGGTGCCTGTGTTCAAGTCTCACCCTAGGTCAGGCCCTCAGCTACTCTTAGCCTCTGTTTCCTCATCCATAACACGGGGACAGTGGAGAGACCACAACAGTTGTTATAGGGGGTATGCGACACTGAAGCACTTGAGATCTAGAAACATGAGCTGTTAAAGGTTTCTTATTTTAATTCTATAAATACTTGAAAAATGCGTGAATATTGTCTCGTGTCTTGGTAAAATACTGAATTGAGTAGCGCCCCCCCAAAATTCATGTCCACCTGAAACCTGTGAATGTGACCGAATATGGAAACGGAGTCTTTGCAGATATACATGGTTAAGATGAGTTCATACTGGGGGATGGGGAGACTAATCCAGTGACTGATGTTCTTAAAGAGGAAAATGTGGAGACATATACGTAGAGGAGAAGGCCATGTGAGGACAGAGACTGAGATGGGAGTGAAGTATCTACAAGCCAAGGAAGGGTAGGTAACCCCCAGGATCATTAGCAACGGCCAGATGCTAGGAGAGACAAGGAAGGAACTTCTCCCGGACACTTTGAAGGGGGCATGGCCCTGCTGACATTTTGATTTTGGGCTTGTGACATCTGGAACTGTGACAGAATAAAGTTCTCTGCCAGCTGTTATGAGTCACTCCCTTTGTGGTGTTTTGATATGGCAGCTCCAGGAAACGAATATAAGGAATCTGGGTATTCCACTCCATTTTTTCCACTCCATTCCATATTCCACTCCATTCCACTCCATTCCATATTCCATTTTCTTAAATGACGGCAGCATCCTGAGAATCATTAACCTAATAATAATTCTCATAATTTCAAACTTCACTCTGGCCAAGCCTCTGAATTCACCCGCTCCCCACCCAGGCCTTGCTTTCAGTGTCTCTACAGAAGCCCCACCCCCCCCTGTCCACCCCTCCCCCCCCCCACCCTCCCCCCCCTCATCCCACCACCCCCACCTACACAAAGCCGCTGCTCCCACACCTCTCTCCTCCTGCTTCTTCCTGTACTACAGGGAACGACTCTGCTCCCCTTCTCTGTGGCCATTCCATCCCACTTCCCAAGCATCCCTGCACCTTCTTGGACACCCAGTTCCTCTCCATCAGCTATTTCTCAACGGAAATCCCTCTTGCCCTTTGGTCTCTCCTCCTCCTCACCATCCAATCTCCCAAGATGCCATCTGCATTCCCTGTGCCCGCTTCCTCACCTCCTACTCCTCACTCATTCCCATCCAGCTCCTGTCTCCAGCAAAACAAACCACGTTCACTAAGAAAAACAGTGATTTTTCTCCACATCCAGCAGACTTTCTTTAGTCATCTTACGCAGTGTCTCAGGAGCGTGTGACCCAGTTCTGCACTCTCTGCTTTCTTGACTCACTCACTTCCCTGGCCTGCTGGGACTCCACATTCTCCTTGCTCTCACCAGCTTTCCAGACATCCCTGAGGTGCATTTTTCTCTACCAGGTCATTAAGTAGTAGCCACACTTGAGCCCATGTCTAAGGACCTCATCTCTTCCTCCTATACTCCTTCCTCGAGAGATAGTACCATTCCACAGCTGAGATTAGGGACCATTTTTTTGCTCCCTAATTGATATCTGTAATCCAGACCTCCTAGAGCTCCAGACCCACATATCCAAATGACCTATTTGGCATCTGTTCCCAGGCATCTCAAAGGCCCCTCACATTTACCATGATCAAATCATGTGGTCTTCTCCCACAAACCTAGGCCATCTCCAACTTCCCCGTTTTAGTAAATACCACCACCACCAAGCCACTTCCTCTTGCATGAATCATTCCTGACACCACCTGCCTCACCCTACATGTCCATTCTATCCTAACTCCTGTCGATTTGACTTTCTTTTTTTTTTTTTTTTTTTTTTAACAGAGAGAGAGATCACAAGTAGGCAGAGAGGCAGGCATAGAGAGAGGAGAAAGCAGGCTCCCCGCTGAGCAGAGAGCCCGATGCGGGCCTCGATCCCAGGACCCTGAGATCATGACCTGAGCTGAAGGCAGAGGCTTAACCCACTGAGCCACCCAGGCGCCCTCGATTTGACTTTCTATCTCTCAAACCCATCACTTCTCTCTATCTCCACCACCCACCATTCTAGTCCAAGCTATTATTAGCTTTCATTTGGACTAATCTAGGAGTTTCTAGGTATAGTTTTTGGGGCTGACCGTGTCAACCTCTTGGACCTCATTTCCTTCCACTGTCTCTATACTTCCATCCTGATGGACCTGCGCCTGGCCCTCTTCTGAATGGGCAGAGCTCTTCATGCCTATGGGACTCATACATACTGGCCCTTCCAGCTCTCACCTCCTCTTCCTTGATAAGTACCTACTCTATCCAAGAGTCCATTTAAATAATACCCCTCTGGAAGCCTTCCTTACATCTCCAGGCAGAGCTGAGTGCTTCTCCCCATGACTTGTCTAACTCCATTATAGCACTCAGCTCATGGCCATGCTAGACTTTTGGCTCATCTACTCCTACAGGCTGTGAGCCTGTCATTCATTCATCCCTTCATTCAGTCATTCATTCCACAAATGTTCTGGTCAGTTAATTTACTGGGCACTATTCTAGGTACTAAGAATATAGCGGTAAACTAAACTGGCACAAATCCCACCACCAGGGAACTCTTTAGTGGAAAGAGACAGACATTAAAAATAAGGAACAGGGGCACCTGGGTGGCTCAGTGGGTTAAAGCCTCTGCCTTCGGCTCAGGTCATGATCCCAGGGTCCTGAGATTGAGCCCCGCATTTGGGCTCTCTGCTGGGCAGGGAGCCTGCTTCCTCCTCCTTTCTCTCTCTGCCTGCCTCTCTGCCTACTTGTGATCTCTGTCTGTCAAATAAATAAATAAAATCTTTTAAAAAAAATAAGGAACATACACAGAATGTCAAATGGTTTGGCAGCAAAATTCCCCAGACTTCCCAATGCCTTGCTGTTGGGTGGGGCCTGGTGATGAGCTCTGGCCAGTAGGTTGTGACCAGAAATGACGTGTGTCCTTTCCAGTCCAAAGTATTTATCATATACATACATATTCCTTCTCTTTTCTTCCCTCAGTTCCTGTCTCTGAAAGGAGATGAATTTTGAAGACCAGATGGACAGATTACTTCATGCAGGGTTTTGTCACGGTAATCATATTCTTTTCTTTTTAATTTCTTCCACAACTACGTGGAAGACTCCCCCTTCTAAAGTTTCTGTGGTCTAGAGAGTTGATCCTTCAATATTATGCTTAGAGGAGTGGCAGGAAAGGGAAGGCAATAATTATCTGTCTGGGTAAGAAATAATCTGATCTTTGGAAGGATTCATAGGTTTCCAAGACTGCAAATTAACTGATTCCAAGATAACTATTTGAATATAGTAAATATAGGAGGGTTGGTGGCCCATCATTCATTCTCTTCATTCCACTGGTTTCTGCCATTATTCATGAATGCGAATCTAAGGCCTTTTGGCAATTAGACAATATTTCTCTGACGAGTTTACCTTTTTCTAAATAATCTTTACATTAATTACAGACCATAAAAGCCCAATATAAGAATTTCATCAAAAACTGTTAGGATGAATGACTCAATCTGTTAGCTATAATCTTTCAAATATTTTTAAAGGAAAATTTAAAAATTTATTCTCTGCCTCACCCGCTGAGTATATTATTACTGCAACAAATTGTTCTTCATTTTAACAGCATGATATACTTTGTGAAGCAATTTCATATACATTGTCTTTTTATGATCTCACAACCATTGTGTTATGAACAGAGCCTTTCTTTTGCCCAACAAATATTTATTTAATACCTACTATATGAAAGATATATACCCAACTCTCTATTTCCTTTTGCCACCTGAATATCTACTATGCATCTCAAAATTTCCATGCCCTCAACTGAGATTCTGATGTTCCCAACAAACCTGTTCCAATCATCTCAGATGACAGCAACTCTAGACTTCCAGTTGCTGAGGCCCAAACTTTGGAATCAACCTTGACTTCTCTCTTTTCCACATTCCACATTCTATCTGCCTGAAAATCATACTGGCTATACCTTCAAAATATGTCCAGAATCTGAACATTTCTCACCATGCTGTCTTTTCAGACACATCATCTCCTTGATTAATGTAATAACCTCCTAACTAGTCTCTACTTTGACCCTAGTGCATCTTCAGTCTATTCCCCATATAGAAGCATTGATATTGAAATGTGAATCAAATAACATCACTCTTCTGCTCAAAATTCTCCAACGGCTTCCCTTTCTCACTCAAAGTCAGAGTCTTTACAATGGTCCACAAAGCCCTACACAACCTGTTCCCCACCTCTCTAATCTCTCTATTTTAATTTCTGCCAATTTCCCCCTCAATCACTCTACTTGCGCTGAATTCCTTGCTGTTCCTGCAAAAATGCTATACACGGTTCTGCCTCAGGGCCTTTGCATTGGCTGTCCTCTGCCTGTCTCCTCTGCTCCCAGTCAGTCATGTGATTTCTTTCCCTGACTTACCCTACTTACAATGGCAACATCCCAGCACCAACCTCCACTTCTCTCTATTATCTTTCCTTCTTAATTTTTCTTCATAGCACCTATTATCATCTTTACTAGTCTACAAAGTCTAGGTAGTTCTGTGATAACCCCAAAGTGCAGTGGCCATTCTTTTACTTAGAATTCTCTGGTCCCCACCAACCTTGGAATTAGTCCCTACCCTAAGAAGAGCCTAGGCCTTCATGGTCTGGCCAGATTTTTTTCTATAGCCTCATCTCCCACTACTTCCTCATAACAGCCTCTGCTATTAGCATGCTAAGTCCAGGCAGATCCTGAACATGCATGGGGTGTCAGATCCCAATGCCAAAAGAGACTTGCCCAAGGTCAAACAGCCAGGAAATGCCTATTCCCTCTCATCTGGGGGCTCCTTCTATTCTGACACATGCCTAAAGTAAACTCATAAAGTACCCATGATGGGCGGTAGGTGCTTTCCTTTTCTAGTATTTTCGGAGAGTGAACACTTGTTAATACTAGCCCAAAACTTTCATCATAGGATCAAATACACGGGTCCAGGAAGAGGTCTCCATCTTACGGGCTTCTCCAGTGTCAGCTCCCCAGGCTAGTAACCCCAAAGATCTTGGTACCAGTCTTGGCCCTGGACCTTGTGAGATCACCCCAACAAATTACCATCTGTGCCTTTCATTACCTGCATGGGAAAGAATCACATAGTTAGGCCCAAACATTCTAGTTTAAATGCTGACCATGCCACGCACCATGGAGTACAGCTAAACCACGTGGTTCTATTGAAGATCCTGAAGAAAGGCCACTTCCTTAAGTTTCTCACACTACAGTAGTAGCTCCCGGCAGCTTCTAAGGGAGCTGCTCTTCCTGTCACTTCTGAGAGCATAGGAAGGCAACATTGTATACCCTTGAGAAGCTCCTCCTACAATCAATGGGGCAGGGTGGGATTTTTTTCCCCTCCCCTTCCTTCATGGCTACCCCCAACTCCCATCCCAGAACAAACAAACTGAGAGAGAGCTCAGTGCTAAGAAAGAACCCTTTTTAATCTATTAGCAAATAATAAAGCATGGCTATGGTATGAGGTAGATTTAATATTAGCAAAAGAAAGATGTGTTTGTTTTATAGGTGTGTTTGTTTCAAAAGCATCTTAGCCTCCCCTCTAGGTCCACAGAGGGGCATATTGACTGGACTTGACTGACTGTGAGTCAGTGAGAAGGGCAGAGGGGTAAAACTGTGTATGGGAAGGATATGGGGCTTGGTACTTGTTGCCAAAGGAGACCCAAACCAGAAGTCTCCTGTATACTGAGTGCAAGCTGGACCCTATGTGACTGGATGGGAAAATAAAATGCTTTTCAATACCTAGAGCTATTCTACCGTGCCATATAGTAGCCTCTAGCCACATGTAGCTGTTGAGCCCTTGAAATTGTGACTTGTCTGAGTTATGACATACTGTACATATAAGGTACGTGCCAAATTTGGAAGACTTAGTATAAAAAATGTACAGTACCTCATTATTTCTTTTTATTGGTTATATGTTAAAATGATAATATTTTTGATGCATTGGCTTAAACAGAGTATATGACTGAAGTTCATTTCATATTTCTTTATACTTTTAAAATGTGGCTATGAGAATATTGTAAACTGTATCTATGGCTTGCAGTATATTTCTGTTGGACAGAGTTACTCTATACTGCGTATTAGGGATAGTTGATAATAAGATGTCACAGCCTTACAGACATGACAAACGTAAGTCAGGGAGCATAGAGGTTAAGATGTAACTTGTTTGGTAGATAAATAGATTTTATTTTTCACATTTGTCAAACTATCTTTTAAGAGGATAAAGGTCATATTAAATCCTACCTTCAGGAATAAACTTTCTAGAGACTGAGAAGAAAATATTGCAAGAGTGCCTACACTATTCCAAGAAAATGTAGGTATTTTCAACTTCCCTCCCAAAGAAAGGGATCTGATATGAATTTTGTGGACTATAGAAAAATACATTCAAGAGATGTTAAAAGCACCAAGGGACAAACAGGCTTTTAGAGGGATAAAAGATATTTTATTTTTCAGCTCTTTCAAATTTTCTCTACCTTTGTTTTCTAGTCTGTTTTTTTTACTTGGTGCTTCGAAAACAGCAAAGAGGCAGAAAGGTATCTCTAGTAATGTCAAAGAGGGTCTTATAAGAGCTTCTCGGTAAAGACGTGGCTAGGATAACAGAAAGGGCTCCTCGGGTTCTGTTCCCTGTAAAGTCAACAAACCAACAGCTGAAATGTCTTCCTTCCCATTGTGCCCTCCAGGGTTGCTCTTAAGAGTCCTGTTTGCCTGTGTCCTACTCTCAAGTGGTCACTGAACTTTTCTAAAAAGCCATATGCCTAAGAAACCCCATCTGTTACTCCACCATGCTACCTGATTCCAGATGTCAAGAAGAAGGGGGCTTGGGAGATAGGATAACCAAGGCAGAAAAAAAACTCTCAGCAGAATCTTAACCTCACCTTGTGCTCAGCAGCTGTCCCGTGGACATAGTGGTGAGCTCCTAGGCCTTGCGAGGTGCCCAGACCTCCCTCGGCTGTATTTACCCAGGAACTATCTTCTATGGTGGGGACCAGACTCCCTCCAACCAAGGTAAGGCCTGAAGTGTTGATTGTCAGTGTTCGCTCAACGGATCTGAAGTAGTTCAGAATTCCCAGACAGGTGCGCTGAAACAAAGACAGACCAGGTTAGGACTCTGTCCTTTGCTCTCTCCACAAGATAGAGTAAAACTGAATGGGGGCCCTGGAAGCTGGCAAGTCGATTCCACCCCTGAAAAGAAACACACCATCCCCAGAAAGTCCTGATGTTGCAGAAAAATCAGAACAAAGAACAAAGTGTAAAAATGTGTTGCTACTGGAAGAGCAGGAAAACCACCTTGGTGGACAACCAAACATTCCAGAAGCCTGAAGCCCGCGTGCTGTGCCATCCACATACCTGCAGCTCCCTGATTCGCAGGTGGCGCAGATACAGGAAGGACAAGTAGGCTCCTCTCATCAGGACAGGACTCCCATCACTGGGCCCGGTCCTACCATCCAAACCGAGCAGTTGCAGGGCCACTGCATAGCTGTACCTTTAGGGGGTAGGAGAAATAGAATTAATGCTTTTCACCTCAAAGTGGTTTGGAAAATTCATAGACCCCAAATGGAAGTCATTTTATTTAACTTAAGGGAGTTTCACAGTAGCTATTCTTTAAAAATGCATTAGAAGGAAAATAATTACTCTGTATTTATAAATACAAAAAGAAATTGCTCTTAGCAATTACTCTTGTGAAAAACCCAGTCCTAGAGTGAAACATTAATTTAGTTGTCTGACCTGCTTGAACAGCCTTGCTTTTATTTCAGCTTTAAATATTTTTGAGTTAACATGTAACCTACCTATTAATCAGTCACTCAATTTCCACCCCCTCCCTGTGTTTAATCCATTTCCTTGAGTCACCAATAACATGATTTAATTTTACCCTGTCTCTTTTTTCTGCTTGGTGGGCTCACCAGCATGTTGGCAACGACTTATTTGTGCTAGGTCATTTTCATTTTGTTCTATTGAAAGGTCCTCTTCCCTCATATTTTCATTCTATCAAAAAAGCAGCATTAGTTGAATTACATGAGCATCTGCAATATCATTAACAAAGTCACAGTGGGGCCACCATGAGCTCAAACCCCATGATCCAAGGCATATTTATATGAACAAGCAGAAGAGTACTGGGATCCACTGCAGCATGTCCTGTGAAAATCTGGATTTCTAGAATAAATTAGAAACCACCGTTATTATTATTATTTAGTCCTTGTTTTATAAGACTCTTCACAGCTTTTAAATACCACCCCCCCCACACACACATACAGCTTTTCCGTGATTCACTTATGAAAAGTTGATACACGCATTTGTAGATGTTTGAAACCTTGAACATCTCGAATCTAACCTTGTTCCAGGCTGAGAGAGATCGGTGGATTGAATGCTTCTTTCTACTTTTTAGCTATGTGATTTAATTTTTTAAAGTCTTGATCCTGTTTTTGTGCTTGTAAAATGGCATAATAATAGAAGATAAATTGCTGTGAGAATTAACGCATAGTGACTGGCATCTTGTAGGTGCCCTGTATGTGCTAGCTCCCCCCAACCCATGGATTGCTGTAGTCAGTCAGCCCAGCAGAATCTATCACAGAATTCATGGTTTATGTTGATTTCCATAGGCATTTTTCCTGATATTGAGCAGGACTAGGTCACACACACACACAGAGTCCTAGGAAAAACTTGAAGAAGGTAATATTGATGAATTTCCTTCAAGTCCTAGGAAAAACTTGAAGAAGGTAATATTGAGTCTGTCCCTGGTCCTCTGGCAGCCCCTTTCTTCGTTGTTCTCTCTGCCTGTCCCTGGGCATACACCCCATTCTCATAAGACACTGTCTTTCATAGTGGTTCCAGTACCCACAAAAACACTACTGAGTGGCAATGAGTTAGCTTGGAACCCCACTCTTTGGGTTACTTATATTCTAATAGTTTGCTCTTGGGATTCCAATAAGCCCTTACGGCAAAAACTGCTGTTGTTCCCCAAGATCCACTTTCCTTTCTTCCTGTAGTAATTAAATATTTATTGTGGCCCGTGGCCACCCAGATGGAGATGACATTTCCAAGCCTCTTTTGCAGGTAGGTGTAGCTATGTGACTAAGTTCTGGCCAAAGTGAAAATGCCATGTGGCAGCTTTTGGGAATTTCCCTGAAGAGGCAGGTTCTCTCCCCAATTGTCCATTCTGCTGCTTAGGACAAGAATGTGACAGCTGGAGCTCCATCTCAGACCAGGTGTTGATCTTGGGTATGGAGGCTGCATTTGTTGGAACTCCAGGATAGAAGGAGCGTGGGTCCCTGAGGACTCCATGGAACAGAGTCATCACGCTAGTTCTGTACTTCCTACCCCTGGATCTTAATATGAGGGAGAGAGAAAGAAATTCCTATCTCCTTTAATCCTCTGCTATTTTGTGTTTAATCATGACCAATGGCCAAATATAATTTTAACTAATACAGTACCCGAGACTCTAAAGACAGACTATTGATCTTTATGACGGGCAGTAGAGAAGAGAATTTGGGGCAGGGATATTAGGAAGAGTGAGTGAGAAGAAAGCTGTCTCATCGAGTATTGTTAAATGGCTTCCCATTCTGCCTGTGGGTAGAATTAGCTCCTGTCTGTTCTGGGTAAGTGTGCACATTAGTGTTTTTCCATGTAAACATCCCACGACCCCAGGACTGGAAAAGACCTAGGAAGTGACATGGGGCACTCCTGTTCTTTAATACAGAAACACAAGATCATCATCCCCAGATTAAGAGACTCTTACTTGAAGAAAATCTTTCATTACCTGCATGGGAAAGAATCACATAGTTAGGCCCAAACATTCTAGTTTAAATGCTGACCATGCCACGCACCATGGAGTACAGCTAAACCACGTGGTTCTATTGAAGATCCTGAAGAAAGGCCACTTCCTTAAGTTTCTTAAGTAGGAAAGCATATACTCTATGAGGGAAGTTGAATCTTGGCAATTTCTATTTGGCCAGAATTTGGGGTGAGAGTGTTTCTCCTGAAGACCCTTGCCTCTTAGGCCTCTGGTACCCTTACACTGCAGTTCAGCCTTCCCCACTGTGGCTGCAGAGGGCAGGCTCAGAACCACAGCTTTTCTCTGACGGGATCGTGACTTTTCCAGCTGCTTCTAAATTTACCCAGAATTACATAGGGAGGAACAGAGAGTGACATCAAGTTACGGTGAAAGACACTATGAAGGTACGACTGAGCAAGGCACAGAAGCACTGCTGGACCCGTAGGCTGCTGGGAAGACAGGAAGGGGACATAACTGGGTAGGGTGAGTAGAAGAAGAGAGCCCAGCCCCCTCCGGAAAAAGAGAACCAGCCACAGCCCACAGAAGTCGACTGTTTAGGAAACACCCAAAGCACATGAGTGTATTCCCCTAAGAGGACTAGACACGGTGCAGGTAAGCAGCAGGGCTGACCAGAAGCCAGAATGTCAACACCACCTGCATTTGTTCCTTCTTCCGGTGGGTAAATCCTTTGACATTTACTCTACCTGGTGGCTGGGTCTTTGCCAGCATTGTCTTGGGCAGTATTTTGATAGTTCTGAGATCTCCACTGATTGCAAATTTAATTCTTCTGGGAAACTGGCAGGGGCAGTGGAGTGGGAAGTTGCGGGGAGGGGGGTCTATAATGTATTTCCCACCTCCTAAATGTCCCCACAGCGTATTTGTGTATATCCACAGAATAAAAAGACTAGAAGGATAGATACCAAATGTTAACAATATTATTGTTTTATTTGGATGGTAAAATAGTGGCTGATTTTTATTTTCTTCCTTGAGCTTTTCTATATTTCCCATATTTTCTGTGATAATACATGTCATTATTGTCAACAGAAAAATGTTTGTTTTACATGTTCCATTGAATTGGATGAGGGAAACCAGAAAGGAGTGTTTTCTGTTTCCCTAAACTTCTTGCACATTGGAATGATTGTATACAACAGCACTTTTGTGAGGGCACACTATGTCCTCATTCCATCTGTGGAAATACAGGGGACCAGTAAAGCTGTTGGGGAAGAACCAGCTGTCCCTTGCTCTCTTCTCCCTGTGGCCAGTGAGAAGAAACAAAAGAAGAGGCACAGGATATAGTGTTTCCTGTCACTGCAACACTCCATAACGTTAAAGGACAGTGACCAATTTAAACCATATCTTTAGAGATATGATGGCCAATAGTAGTATTTAATGTCTATACATTTTAATAAACGGGTGTTTTCTTGGGGAATGGCACTGGGTACGAGTAACTTAATAAAATACAAATATGGGAGGTTTGGGAGGATCCACACAGGGTTGGCTGGTCTATTGCTTCTGATTAGGACTATGGTTAAATTGTTTTTAAGTTTTTTCAAAAGGATATTAAAAAAACAGTCCTTTTAGACCACAATTCTCTCTTTTTAGTTATAAATTATCTTCAATTGACAATGATCAGAAAATCTGATATTTTTTCTTTATCCCCCAAACCCAGATCTCTAAGTGAATCTGGGAAAAGAATTGTGTATAAAGAAAAGAGTAGCCTGCCTTACATGCCGATGGTAAATAAAGGGCCAATCCAAAATGTGATAGAAACATTATAAACATTATTGACCTTCAGACAAATATGTTTGATGTTAAAATGTGAGGAAGCAGGTTCTCTCATAAGTTGCTTGTTAGGGGAAAAAAGGGTATACCACTTCAGTAGGATCTATGGAAAATTTTCATATATATGTCAGTGACCCAGAAAATCTAATTCTAAATATCTACTCTAAAGAAACACATGTGTGCACAAGGAGGCATGTACAAGGAAGTTCAGTGGGAATGGTTTCTAATGAGGTAAAAAATGGCAACAAGTATCCAGAGAGGTGTCTGTGTGAGCTGTTGTATATGATAAAATATAACGCAAGCATTAAAAAGAATAACAGAGACAGATTTCTAAGACATATTGTTGGGTGAAAAAAGCAAGTTAACAAAGATATCCACAGAGTATGACAGATAATTTACATAGAAAACTAAAACACAATATTATACCATATATATGTGTATATATGTACACATATATATGGTGTGTATGTGTGTGTGTGTATATATATATATATATAATATATTTTATGAGGACATATGTTTGAATGTAAATGTATTGAAAAAGCTAAAGCAATAACAGTGTTTACCTCTGAGGAAGTGGAATGGGGACCAGATTAGAATTCCCATTAATTTAAAGCATTAAATTTTCAGTGATGTTTCAATTTTTCACAAGAAGATGTTTATGTATTATTTCTGTAGCTCAAAATTAATTTCTAACATCTTCTTAGGAGAAACATCATCACTTTACAGTGCAAAAACCTAGCAAACACCCCTAACTTAACAAAACATATCAAGCTTAAAATATCCCAGCAATATACCAGGTTGATAACATCTGTCCCAGATATGGTGTGATAAGAAGGGCACTTCACCTGTGGGGTGTCCTTCCTTCAAACCTCTAACCCCAGTGTAACCACGAGAAAAACATCAGACAAATTTAAGTGAAGGAATTTTCTACAGGTTTCCTGACTAGTACTCCCAAAGACTGTCAAGGAAAGCCTGAGAAGCTGGCACAGACCTGAGGTGCCTGGGAAATGTGACAAGCAAAGGCATTGTGGTACCCTAGAGCACAAAGAAGACAGTAATGGAAAAACCAGTGACTTCCAAATACAGTCTCGTTTAGATATCAGTAATGTACCAGTGCTCGTTCCTTGGGTGTGACAAAGTAATATGTCAATAACAGGAGAAACCTGACAGGGGATTCCTGGGAAGTCTTTGTACTATCTTTGTAACTTTTCTGTAAATCTAAAACTGCTCTGAAATAAAACATTGATTTTCTAAACAACAACAACAAACTTCCTAAAGAAAAACTATTGGTGAATAGTATTCACTGAAAACTGATCCAAAACTGTCCCAAAGTCATGCTATATTCTTTCTGAGCTGTCAAAATGGGCAATCCTATGAGGTTTGCTTTCCTTCATGCAGAAGTAAGAAAGTTATTTTTCACGGGGTATGGATTGTTCCTTGCCAACTTCAGAATCAGAATGCTGACCAGCATATAGATGCTAAAATTCATACTTGACTGCTACATGCGTGCAAAATAATCACAGAGCTTTACAGTTCATACCCACATTCCTGTGACTCCTCCCATCTGCCCCCTTTAACTTCATCCTAATCTCCTCTGACTGGTATCCAATATTCAGAATGGCATTCAGATACTGTATAAAGTGCCTCTTCACGAGAGCAGAAATACATAAGGAGTTCACAAAGTAACGCCCACAGGAAAATGGGAGGGAAAGTAGAAAACCATTGATCGTTGCCTCAGAATTTTCTTTCTCCAATGCTGTGCTATTTTCTGTTTCCCCACTGGGAAAGCTCTTCTCTAGCATGGCTGACTCCTTCTCATTTATCATATGTCAGCTCAGATGTTCCCAGCTCAGAGGGCTTGGTCCATCTATCAGGGGATGCTCCTCTCTACCCCACTGCCCCCTCTTCCTGTGGTTTTCCTCATGGCACCCACAGGTTAGAGATGAGATTAACTCTTTCGTTCACCTCTTTATTGCACATTTCATTCCCTGAGCAGCACAGTTCCTGGGACAAAGGCAGTATCCATGTAATAATTAATAATTATAATAATTACAGTATCCATGTAATAATCACTGAATGGATGAATGAATGAATGAACGAACAAACTAATGAACAGGAAACTTGCATGACACTAACATGTAGGGTTAATTTGTGTGTGTTATGTCTCCCTTTAGGATCCACCTCTGAAATCTATAGGTGTTCTCAGTCTCTAGGGTCCATTTACCATAAATCAACCTGAAAGTAGGTGTTCACATTTTTCTTCTTTTGGTCAATTCCAAGAACAACATTTACAAGTCAGTAAATAGCCCAAGGAAGTGGTTTTCTTTCTTTCTTTCTTTTTTTTCTTCTTTCCTCCAATTTAACACTGGGCAACTGCATTCAAAATAGACTGGTGAAAACAAAGACTACATTTCATCATACCCTGACTTTCCACCTCATGTGCAAATGGAGGGAAGCAGGAACAGAGGATGGCAGGAAATGTCAGTTCTCTCCACTGTGTGGCTGGTCTCCTTCCTCGCACTGTGGCTCTTAGTATTTTCTACCTTTCAAAAAAAAAAAAAACCTGAGCCATCATCTCCTGCTCTTGCCCTGCACTTTCTTCTTTTCCTGGATAACCTCCTTTGTCCCCTAAGTCTGCATGGGCACTGCTACAATTCTGGCCTGCTGGTCCAGCCAGACCCTGGACCATCACTTCTCCATGACTTCAAACATGAAGCTCTTCACTACTGACTCCCTATTCCTTTGCTTCCTACTTCTCCTTTACTCATATTCACCTCTTTTCACCCTTATCCAGCCCCTCAGGAATTTAATTGCCCCTATTCTCTCAGTCAAGGAGGAAAACAGACTTGTGGTGGCCCTCAAATGTTAAAACCAGAATCTCAGGTAAAGGAGGATTCTTTAAGGATCAAGAGCTAGACTGTCCAGTATCTTAGGAGCACAGGTCTTAGTGATAAGGTCTGACTCTGTCTTCAACCTCCTCCCTTCTTTCCTACTCCCTACCTCCTTCTGCTTAAGTTTGGTTCAAGAAGCAAAAGAACTGGGTGTTTTTAAATGTCCCTTTGTGAAATACAAATCAAAACCACAATGAGATACCACCTCACACCAGTCAGGGAGACTAAAATTAAAAAGTCAGGAAACAACAGATGTTGGTGAGGATGCAGAGAAAGGGGAGCCCTCCTACACCACTGGTGGGAATGCAAGCTGATGTAGCCACTCTGGAAAACAATATGGACTTTCCTCAAAAAGCTGAAGACAGAACTATACTATAACCAAGCAATCGCACTTCTGGATATTTACCCCGAGGATATAAATGTAGTGATCCGAAGGGGCACCTGTACCCCAATGTTATTATAGCAGCAATGTCCACAATAACCAAACTATGGAAAGAACACAGATGCCTATCAACAGTTGAATAGATAAAGAAGATGTGGTATAGGGGTGCCCAGGCAGCTCAGTTGTTAAGCATCTGCCTTTGGCTCAGGTCATGATCCCAGGGTTCTGGGATCGAGCACCACATCAGGCTCCTTGCTCAGTGGGAAGCCTGTTTCTCCCTCTCTCTCACTCCCCCTGCTTGTGTTCCCTCTCCTGATGTGTCTCTCTGTCAAATAAATAAATAAAATCTTTAAAAAAAAAAAGAAGCTGTGGTGTATATATATACATATATATATATGTATATATATATACACATTGTCTTCCTCTTTATTTTTCTTCTCTTCCCCTATGATCCTCTGTTTTGTTTCTTAAATTCCACATATGAGTGAGATCGTATGATTAATTGTCTTCCTCTGCTTGACTTTGTTCACTTAGCATAATATCCTCTAGTTCCATCCATGTCGTTGCAAATGGCAGGATTTCATTTTTTGATGGCTGTGTAATATTCCATCCTATCTATATACATATCTATATACATATAGATAGGATGGAATATTACATATATATGTAATATAGGATGGAATATTACAACATGGATGGAACTAGAGGGTATTATGCTAAGTGAACGAAGTCAATCAGAGGAAGACAATCATACGATCTCACTCATATGTGGAATTTAAGAAACAAAACAGAGGATCATAGGGGAAGAGAAGAAAAAATAAAACAAGATGAAATGCTCATTACATTGAATATTACATCACAGACCTGTGCCTCTGAAACCAATAATACATTATATGTTAATTAATTGAATTTAAATAAAGAATTTTTTTTTAAAAAAATCCCCTTATTAGTATAAGGTCTTCCTGGTGACATATGGGATAGGAAAAAATGTGGCTATTTTCTCCGCTCTTGCAGGTAGCTGCATGCCTGTCAAGGAAATCAGAGTCCAGGTGATCAATGCCATGATAATGCTGTCTCTGTTTCTGATCTCTTTGGACAACTCATTTTTTATTAGATTCTCTAGATCCTTACTTATCTCAACAGGTTGAAAAGTTGTAGAGGTTGTGATGTGTATGTGTGTGTGTGTGTGTGTGTCTGTGTTACACATGCATACTCTTTTGTGTTTGCTTCCAGCCAATCTGTAAGTCATTTAGGTTTCACTTTCTCCCATACCCAGCCTGGGATGATAGACCATGATAGTGCTTCTCTCTCTAGCATTCTACTAAACTTCTTCATATCTTTGACTTTATGTATAATTTCTACAATTATATTTAGGGGTGAAAATAATAGGATTATTATGCAGATTAGGCTCACTGAAAGTCCTGCCCTCTTACTTCAACTGGGCCCTCTGGCTACATGGTCATCCTTATATTCTTTTCTCCATTGGTGGCCCTGTGGCATTACCTGCAGTGACCCACCTCCTCACGTGTCACTTTAACCTTCAATCTCACTAATGCAGGCATCTTCCCCCCCATCTCCTCTCTCTCTCTGAGACAGCCAGAGGCATTTACAAGCTACCACATCTTATCTTTTTGTACCTGACAATTCTATAGATCTTATTCACCTCAAGGGAAATGATGCCAGTCTTCCTTTCTCAAAATTACTCCTTCAACTAGTTTATTTTATTTTATTTATTTATTTGACAGAGAGAGATCACAAGTAGGTAGAGAGGCAGGCAGAGAGAGAGAGGAGGAAGCAGGCTCCCTGCCAAGCAGAGAGCCCAATGCAGGACTCGATCCCAGGACCCTGAGATCATGACCTGAGCCGAAGGCAGAGGCTTAACCCACTAAGCCACCCAGGCGCCCAACTTCAACTGGTTTCTTCATCCCATCCCCTCCTCTTTCCCCAGGGTCATCTGTTTCTCAAATTCACCCTTTCATGTCTTCCATCTCTTCATCTCCACTGCTCATTTCTCCCAGACCATAAACATACTGACTTTTCCCATTTAAATAAGCAAAGGAAACAATACTCTTCCCTTGGAGCAACAAACAATAGCAAATTATTAAAAATGTTGTAGTACCATTGTAAAGACAAATATCCAATAGCTTTGCATAGAAATTGCCTTTTGTTGCCAACCTTCAGGCCTATCTTATGTAGTAGCTATCTAGCTGGCTTCTCTGCCTCCAGTCTCTCCCTCTTCCAATCCAACTAACACCTTGCTGCCATACCAATCTTCCTAAAAATACAACTTTGTATATATCATTTCCCTTATAGGATAAAACACAAATTCCTTTTTCTGAAATTTATGGACATTCACAACTTTCCTTCTCCTCCCACTTAAAAAAACTTTTCTTCCCCATATTTCTACATGACTCACTCCACCAACCTGGCCTTGAACCCTCCACACACAGTGTCTCTTCTGCATGGTTGTTCATGCCTCCCTTCTACAATGTGCTTCCCTCTCCACCATCACTTCCCTGAGCCCCATGAGTCCTTCAAACCCAGTTCAGTTTCCTCCTCCTTCAAAAGGTTTTTCCCAGAAGAACCAACCCTAGGGGGACCACTTTGCCTCTACACACTCACACTATTTAACAATTGTCCAATTCATTTGGTGTTTAGCACTAGAATGTGTGGCTTTGCATTGGTAAATAGTGGTTAAGTATATGTCCCAGTAGCAATATCTTATATTATACCTCTTTACATTCTTCTTTTTAATCAGCAATTAATCTTTTTATAAAAAAAAAAAAAACCTGGCTGGGTAATGAAGCTTTTATAGAGATGATTTCTGAAAAACTACCAAAGGTCAATTTCTAAGATCTACACAAAAGTAGCAAGTTGGACAGAAAGCCATATTGGTTATTTCTTCCTGTTGTACCTGGTAGAGATTGATGTTGCTATAAATATTCTCCCAGATGTGGTCATAGTTGCACTGATGCAAACCCTGGGAAGCCACGAAAGTTGGATGAGATGGAGCTGGCATGATTGTCTTTGCAGCGTGGTCTTGGAGCACTTGCATTACTCGCTCGGGGCTGGAAATCTCAAGTAGAATGAGAGGAAAAGGAATGGTTTGGTAAAGGGTTATTCCCTTCTATTCAGCAAAAGTTTGATCATATACATACAAATAAGAAAGAATCCCAGGTGGGGCTTTATTCAATTAAAAAATAAAAATCACACTCAAACATCATGATTCCCTTTGGTATGTCCATCCACTGAACATTGTGAATATTTAAATACACACAGCATCTCATTTAGAATTCTGCAACAACCCTCTAAACACAAAGCAGATTGTACCCCCACAAATGTTATGGCACCAATGAAAAGATAAACACCCATCATTTTGGGTACAAACCCTGTTTATTATTAGGAAGCTGCCAGGAGATGGAGGAAGAGGATGCTGGGTTGTATGAGGAAAGTACAAGCTTTGTAAGGACACAAGCCTTGGCTCGTATCTCTGCTGGAATCCTGACTTCACCACACAGAGCAGGACAAGTCAACCTAATAAGAACACCAATGATGTCTCTCCCAGGATCGGTGCAAAAATGCCCATTATGTAGTAGGTACTGAATAAATGTTCCTTCTTCTATTCTGGAGGTAAAGGATCAAGTAATAGTCCCAGAATTGAATTTCAATGGCAGTGATACATGTAACACAGTATTTCACAAAGAAATTCAAATATCATTTAGTCCAATCCCTACCAAAACCCCAATGACATTTTTTGCAGAAATAGAAAGATTCACCCAAAAATTCATGTGAAACCTCAAAGGACACCAACTAACAATGTAATTTTGAAAAAGAAGAACAAAATTGGAGGACTCACACTTTCTGATTTCAAACCATATTACAATGCTATAGTAATCAAAGTGGTGTGGTCCTGGAATAAATTGGGCATCTAGACCAACAGAACAGACTAGAGAGCCTAGAAATAAACCCTTGAGTATATGGTCAAATGATCTTAGACATGGATGTCAATACCATTCAACAGAGAAGGGACAGTCTCTTCAACAAATGATTCTAGGAAAACAGGATATCCACATGTAAAAAAATGAAGTTAAACTTTTATCATACACAATACACAAAAAATTAACTCATAATGGAGATTGGTGGAGCAAGATGGAAGAGGAGTAGGAGACCTAAATTTTGTCTGGTCCCATGAATTCAGCTAGATAGTTATCAAACCATTCTGAACACCTACAAACTCAACAGGAGGTCAAAGAGAATAGCAGCAATTCTATGAACAGAAAAGCAACCACTTTCTGGAAGGTAGGATGAAGTGAATCCAAGCCAATATACAGAAAGATAGACTGTGGGGGATAGGCCACATCCCAGCAAGCAGTAGAGCAGTGGGGTACAAAATTGGAACTTTTAGAAATCTGCTGCACTGAGGAACCTTACTCCAGAGGATAAGCAGACAGGTGGTGGGGGTGGCGGATGGGAGGAGACTCGCTGGGACAATGTGGTCTCAGGATCCTCAGGGTCAAAGAAAAACCAGTAGAGTGTCTGAGTACATCAAATCTCCCAGGTATTAGAGCAGGGCAGCTGGCTGCAAAGGTGGAGTCAAGGAGTGAGCTCTCAGTTTGGGGTTACCTTAAACCATGATCTAAGGCGCAGTTGGGCTACTGCTCTTCAAGCAGGAATCCCACAAGTGGCAGATCCAGAGAGACCCCCTCTTCCTCCTCCGGGAGGAGCAGTGTGGGAGTGCAAGGCAGGAATCTGCTGGGTTAGGAGACTCCAAATGGTGCTGTGCACCAGAGATAGAAATGCTCAGTCACAGGCCGGGTGAGCTCGGAGTATGGCCGGAGACCAAGGAGATAGGAGGGATTGACCACTTTTCTCTGAGGCCACACTGAAGAGTGGGGCCCTGAGCTCTCAGCAACTAAAGGGCCAGAGATTGGGCGGCCGCCATCTTCATTCTCCTCCTCCCAAGCTGTACAGAAAGCATTCAGGGAACAAAAGTTTCTGAGAGCAAAACCCGAGGAGATTACTTAGCCTGGCCACTGGGAAGGGCAGTGCAGTTCTTCCTTGGGCAAAGACATTTGAGAATCACTGCAACAGGGCCCTCCCAGGGAAGATCAGGAAGAACATCCAGCCAAGACCAAGTTCACCGATCAATAACAACTGCGGAACTCCAGTGCTAGGGAAATACAGCACACAGAATTCATGGCTTTTTTCCTGGTTCTTTAGTCTTCAGAGTTGAACTTTTTAAAATTTTCGTTATTTTTTTTCTTTTCTATTTTTCTTTTTTTAAAAAATTTTCCTCTTTCCTATTTTAACCTATTTTAACTATTTTATCTCATCAATACCTTTTTAAAAATCTTTTTAAATTTTCATTTTTATAGTCATATTCTATCCCTTCACTGTATTTAAACTTATTTTTTGTATGCATATAAGTTTTTCTTTAAAATTTTGGGATACATTTTCTTCTAACAGACCAAAATATACCCTAAATCTAGCAAACGGCTTTTTCTTGTCTCCCACCTGATCACCTTCTCTCTTTTTTTTCCTTTTTTCAACCAACTTCTTATCAATTCCTTTTTTATTTTATTTTTTTAAGATTTTATTTTTATTTACTTATTTGACAGAGTGAGAGCAGGAACACAAGCAGGGGGAGCAGGAGAGGGAGAAGCAGGCTTCCCACTGAGCAGCAAGCCCAATGGAGGGCTTGATCCCAGGACCCCAGGATCATGACCCGGCCAAAGGCAGACATTCAATGACTGAGCCACCCAGGCGCCCCTCAATTCCTTTTTAAAAATCTTTTTAAATATTCCTCTCTACAGTCATATTACATCCTTTCATCATGTGTGTGTGTGTGTGTGTGTGTGTGTGTGTGTGTATTCTTCCTTTCTTTCTTTAAAAATTTGGGAGGCAGTTTCTTCTAACAGACGAAAATACACCCAAAATCAAAATCAAGTGTGCGGCTCTGTTCTATTCATCAGTCTAATCATATTTTTTAAAAGATTTTATTTACTTATTTGACAGAGAGAGAGATCACAAGCAGGCAGAGGCAAGCAGAGAGAGAGGGGGAAGCAGGCTCCCTGCTGAGCAGAGAGCCCAATGCAGGGCTCAATCCCAGGACCCTGAGATCATGACCTGAGCTGAAGGCAGAGGTCTTAACCCACTGAGCCACCCAGGCACCCCTCTAATCATATTTTTTATTGCTTTCTTTTCTCCTCAGTTTTAGGTCTCTTCTGATTTGGTTAGTGTATATTTTTCTGGGGTCATTGTTACCTTTCAGCATTTTGTTTTTTCATTCGTCTTTTCTTCTCTGAACAAAATGACAAGGCAGAAAAACTCATTCTCCAAAAAAGAACATGAGGCAGTAGCAATGGCTGTGGACCTAATCAATACAGACATCAGTAAGATATCAGAACTAGAGCTCAGAATTACAATTATAAAGATGTTAACTGGGCTTGAAAAAAGCATAGAAGATACTAGAGAATCCTTTTCTGGAGAAATAAAATCCCTTTCTGGAGAAATAAAAGGATTAAAATCTAACCAAGTTGGAATTTAAAAAGCTATTAACGAGGTGCAATAAAAAATGGAGGCTCTTACTGCTAGGATAAATGAGGCAGAAGAGAGAATTAGTGATATAGAAGGCCAAATGATGGAGAATAAAGAAGCTGAGGAAAAGAAAGATAAATAACTACTGGATCACCAGGGGAGAATTTGAGAGATAAGTGATACCATAAGATGAAACAATATTAGAATAATTGGGATCCTAGAAGAAGAAGAAGGGGGGTGCAGAAGGTATATTGGAGCAAATTATAGCAGAGAACTTCCCTCGTTTGGGGAAGGAAACAAGTATCGAAATCCAGAAGGCAGAGAGAGCGCCCCTCAAAAATCAATAAAAATAGGTCCACACCCTGCCATCTAATAGTAAAACTTACAAGTCTCAGGGACAAAGAGAAAATCCTGAAAGCAGCTCAGGACAAGAGATCTGTAACCTATAATGGTAGAAATATTAGAATGGCAGCAGACCTAGTCACAGAGACCTGGCAGGCCAGAAAGGACTGGCATGATATATTCAGAGCACTAAACAAACAAACAAAAAAAAATATGCTGCCAAGAATACTATATCTAGCTAGGCTGTCACTGAAAATAGAAGGAGAGATAAAAAGCTTCCAGGACAAACAAAAACTGAAAGAATTTGCAAACACCAAACCAGTCCTACAGGAAATATTAAAGGGGTCCTCTAAGCAAAGAGAGAGCCTAAAAGTAACAGAGCAGAGGGGCACCTTAGTGGCTCAGTGGGTTAAAGCCTCTGCCTTCAGCTTGGGTCATGATCTCAGGGTCCTGGGATCGAGCCCCATATCAGGCTCTCTGCTCAGCAGGAAGCCTGCTTCCCTTCCTCTCTCTCTGCCTGCCTCTCTGCCTAGTTGTGATCTCTCTCTCTGTCAAATAAATAAATGAAAAGAAAATTAAAAAAATAATAATAAAAGTAACAGACCAGAAAGAAACAGAGACAATATACAGTAACAGTTAGAGGCAATACAATGGCCCTAAATTCATATTTTTTAATGGTTACCCTGAATGTAAATGGGCTAAATGACCCACTCAAAAGACGCAGGGTATCAAAATGGGTGAAAAAACAAGACCCATAGATATGCTATCTGCAGGAAACTCATTTTAGACGCAAAGACATCTCCAGATTTAAATTGAGGGGGTGGAAAACAATTTACTGTGCTAATGGACATCAAAAGAAAGCTGGGGTGGCAATCCTTATATCAGATAAATTAGATTTTAAGCCAAAGACTATATAGTAAGATATGAGGAAGGACATTATACCATCCTTAAAGTGTCTGTCCAACAAGAAGATCTAATAATTTTAAATATCTATGCTCCTAACACAGGAGCTATATAAACCAATTAATAACAAAAATCAAAGAAACACATTGACAATAATACAATACTAGTAAGGGACTTTTACACCCCCCCTCACTGAAATGGACAGATCATCCAAGCAAAAGATCAACAAGGAAATAAAGGCCTTGAATGACACACTGGACCAGATGGACATCA